GCCGCCCGCCCCGCGGCCGCCCCGCCTCTTTTGCCTGCCGCGCCTCTCTTGCTGTCCTTGAGCTTCCACAGGTTCTCGGACGGGCGGAACGGTCTGGTTCGTTCGGGCGTCGATTGGTCGTCGCTGCCGTGGGGTTTGCAGGCCTTCCCGCGACGCCAAGCCGTGGCGCATCCAGACACCCGTTGCGTCTGGCGCGGAGGAGGCCCCCCCCCTCCGCCGCGCCCTGCCGTCGCCCTCAGGTCCCCGACGAAGTTCGAGGCACCCCGGCAGCGGCTCCGCGCGAGGGAGCGTTCCCCTCTCGCCCTCAGGTCCCCGACGAAGTTCGTGGCACTTTGGAGGCCAGCTGACTGGTATTCCCTCGGTTTGTGTGTTGGGTTCTCGTTTTGGGGCGTGCCCCTTTTGTCTGCTTCTGCCTGCTGCGCTGTGGGTTGGGCCCTCGGTCAGCCGAGGAGTGAGTGTGGCGTGGGAAGGATGCTCGAGTGTGTGATCCCCTTTTGGACGGCGTGCCCTGGGGGGGCGCGCGCCCGCCAGGGATCCTGTGCACTCGGAGCAGAGTGCCCGCCGCCGCTTCTCTTTGCCCTGCCCCTGCTGCTGCTCCTCCCCTGTCCCATGCATGCCTGATTGCACGGTGCTCAGTGCTCGCTGAGATGGACTCTTGACTGCTGTGGAAGACGTGGGTGTGCGCGATAGCGGTGGACAAAAAAACTCCTCCTCCCCCTCCTCCTCCTCCTCCTCCTTATCCTGCTCATCATCATCATCATCACCATCATCATCATCATCGTTACCATCATCACCATCATCACCATCATCACCGTCATCGCCATTATTATCTCCGTCATTGCCCACGCGGACATCTCACACGTTTTGTGGCTTCATAGGGAGCTCCACCGAAGGCCCCACTGGTGGGGTTCGAATGGCGTTTCGGCACACCCTTCACACGTTTCGTTGCCCCGTAAGGAGTCCCACTGAAAGGCCCCAGTGGCGCAGGCGCATCCCCGCCACCACTTTCGTGGCCCCGTGGGGAGTTCCACCGAAGGCCCCCTGGCGGTGCCCACAAGCGTCCCCGCCACTGGTTTCGGAACACCCCTCGCACGTTTGTGGCCCCACAGGGGGCTGCACCGAAGGCCCCAATGACGGTGCCCGCAAGCCTTTCCGCCACCAGTGTCGGTACACCCCTCGTACGATTCGTGGCCCCGTAGAGGATTCTACCGAATGTCCCAGAGGCGGTGCCCACACGCGTCCCCTCCACCAATTTCGGCACACCCCTCACGCTTCGTGGCCCCATAAACAGCTCCACCGTAGGCCCTAGTGGTGAAGCCGGCGTGGGTCTCCGTTACCCATGTCGGCACACCCCTCACACGTTGCGTTGCCCCACAGGGAGCTTCACCGACTGCGTCCCCGTCGCCCATGTCGCTATACTCCTCACTCGTTTCGTGGCCCCATGGTGGGTTCCAGGAAAACCACAGTGGCGGTGCCCACACGGGCCCCCTCGACCAATTTCGGCACACCCCTCACACGCTTCGTGGCCCCATGAGGAGCTCCACCGAAGGTTCCAGCGGCGGTGCTCACATGCGTCCCCGCCACCCATGTCGGCACATCCCTCACATGTTTCATGGCCCCATTGGGAGCCCCACCGAAAGGCTCCACTGGCGGTGCCCACGGGCGTCCTCGCCACCCATTGTGGCACACCTGTCACACGTTTCGTGGCCCCATAGGGAGCTCCACCGAAGGATCCAGTGGCGGTGCCCACGCGTCCGCGCAACCCTTTTCGGCACACCCCTCACACGCTTCGTGGCCGCACAGGGAGCTCCAACGAAGGCCCCAGTGGCGGTGCCCCCATGCGTCCTTCGCAGGTTTCGCGGCCCCATAAAAAGCCCCACCGACGGCCCCAGTGGCGGTGCCCGCTGATGATGATGAGGATGCTGATGATGATGATGCTGATGATGATGATGATGATGATGATGCTGATGCTGATGCTGATGCTGATGCTGATGCTGATGCTGATGATGCTGATGCTGCTGATGATGTTGATGCTGCTGATGCTGATGCTGATGATGATGATGCTGATGCTGATGCTGATGCTGATGCTGATGATGATGATGATGCTGATGGTGATGATGATGCTGATGATGATGGTGATGATGATGATGATGATGATGATGATGATGATGATGATGATGATGATGATGATGATGATTATGATGGTGATGATGGTGATGATGGTGATGATGATGAGGAGGAGGAGGAGGAGGAGGAGGAGGAGAAGATGGAGGAGTAGGAGAAGGAGGAGGAGGAGGAGGAGGAGGAGGAGGAGGGAGGGGACAGGAACGGATGAGAAACGGAACCGATGATTACAAGTAGGATGAGACGTCAGGCTTTGGAGAGATGTGTTGTGAGAGGTTCTTGAAGGACGACTAAGACAATATTAGAGACTCTCTTAGGGCCCACGTCGGACATTTTGGGGCACTGTTTGGGCCCTCTGGGGGCTCAGTTTTGGGGTCTTGGGACCCTCTCGGGGCCATCTTGAGGCCTCAAACGCCCTTCGGACAGGCATACTGCATTGTTTCCGTAGGTGTTTGAACGTTTTTGGTTTGTCTTGGGGCTTGAGAGGTATGTCGCAGGCCATCTTGAACCATGCTCGGCTATCTTGGGCCATCTTGGAGGCCATCTTGGGCTCCCTGAGGCTCTCTTGTTGCCAGCTTGGGCCATCGTGTGCGCTCCAAGGGGCCGCGGCTCCAGCCCTCCCAGGCCCATGGGAGAGGGTAGGGGAGGGGTCAAGGCACCCTCCTAGATAGCAAGCTGTCTAGCTCACTCCCACCCGCCCTCCCAACACATACGTAACACCCGAACCTCAGAATGTACAGCGGCCGTCTTTGGATGGGTAGCTACTGGGAACCACACTCGAGCCCATGTGCGCGACGCTGGGGCGAGTTGCGCCACGCGTGCCAGGTGCGCCACGCGCGCCAGGCACCCCTGGGGCCCGAGCGTGCCAGGCACGCCTGTGCGCCAGATGCGCCACGTGCCTCCGAGTGCGCTAGGTGTGCCGCATACTCCAGCCGCGCCAGGTGCGCCACGTTCGGGGCACGTGCAGAGTGTGTCAGGTGCGCCTGCGCGCGCGTGACAGCACACATCGGGAAACATGTCGGCCCCCACCATCCATGTCGAAAACCAATGCCCATCATTGTGCCTGGTGGACCTGAGCACAGCAGGCCGTGCGCCACCACTTGACAGTGATCGAAGGGCGGCCGCCCATGATCCAGATTCAGCCGCGAGGTGCATATTGTATTGTTTTTTGTCAGGGATGGTAGCCCTGCGCGCAGCAGGCAATATGCTCACACCCCCGCCGTCCCTGTCAACAAAATATGAAGTGTTCGCGGGCCTCACGAACAGGACTCTAGGCTTTGCCCCAAAGTGTACTTTGTACTGTTTGTTTGACAGGGATGGTGGGGGGGGGCCGCGTCGGGTTGGCCGCGCATGCTCCAAATGTGGAGGCAGAGTGAGTTTTGTATTGTTTTTTGGCAGGGATGGTGGGGGTGGCGGCCCTCATGGGATCCTCATTGTTCCTGGTTGGCTGCCGGTCGCCTGGGGGAGGGGGTGTATATGATTAGGGAACTGATAAGCCCCTCCCCCGAGCAGGGGAAGGAGGGGTTTTGGCAGAGAGAAGACAACTCGTTAAGCCAACTACGCCCAGGGGGCTGGTGTGACTAATTCCAACAGATCAGCATACCATACGAAAGCGGTCACCAAATCGTCCCAGATTTACTCCTTACCCCTTCCCCCCCAACGCCCCAGCCGTTTCCTTTTCATTCCCCGCTACTTTGTCCTCTAAAACCTCTGCGCCCCGCACCCCTTGCGGCAGCGGCCGCGTCTGCATCCTTTTATGCTCGGGTACTTCTGACCTGTTTTGCGGTTCTCGCTTTCCGTCTCTCGCATCCCCTCACCCAAGCTCTCTCGCATTTTTCGCGTCTCGCTCTCTCCACGGGTCTGTTTCTGGAGGTCTCCAAGTGTCTCTGGAGGCTTTCCAGAAGCCCCTGGAGGACCGGTAAGGGCCAAATCCGTCCAAACATCTCGATATTCTATTCTCCTCCTGCCTTGATTTCAGTGTCTTTTATGTTTTGGGGGAGATTGCGTTTTGTGTTGCCCTCTCTTCTTCTCACTGCCACCACTGAAGGCCCAGCGCTACTGACTGATGACCTGTGGTAGTGCCTCGTGAGGTGAGGCTGGCGCCTCGCCCAGCGAAGCACTACCACGGGCCAGCCGCCCCTGGGCTACCGCGGCAGTCGTCAACTTTCGGAGGTCCGCGTGGATTTTCTCTGGTCGGCGCTGGAATCCTCTACCACGGGCCAGCCGTCCCTGGTGTACCGCGGCAGTCGTGAGTAGAACTCCCTTCACAAAGGTACGGTAGGTTCGCGTCGTGTCGACCGGCGGCGTATTTGCCGCCGGCGTTGAGCGTTGAACGCCGGCGGCGGCCCAGAATCGGTCGATGTTTAACGGTCTGACGTTTCGGAAACGGCCGATCGTTCAAGGTTGAACGATCCCCGCGGTGTCAGGCACCAACGGCGATTTCGACACGACACGAGCCTGCCTTACTCGGATCACGAAGGTACAAACAAACGTGGAATTTCGGAGTTCCGCGTGGATATTTCTGAGTCGGCGCTGGAACCCCCATGGCGGCTCGGATTACAAAGGTGATTACATACAACATGGACCTGCGGAGGTCCGCGTGGACTTATCTGATCGGCGCTGGAACCCCAATGGCGGCGCATCCACTGCCGTCCCTGGCGCGCTTCGCGCGCGGCGGGTCCAGCGCCGACCCAGTTCACCCGCGTGGGCCGACCACAGCATCGTTTATCCGACCCCCATCCCCATCCCCATCCCCTTCCAGACCCCCACCAAATAACCCCCCCCAGTTGGGGGTACCTTCCCCAGTTGGTTTAGCGATGAGGTTTTTGCTCTTCTCAGCAGGCCCGCCATGTCCCCTCTCGTGCCCTCCGGCAGAGGACCAGGAGTCCGACTGCGGGAGCATTGTGGAGTCCAACCCAGAGGCGCAGGAGGAGCCCCTCGCTTTGGGGGGATAGGGCTCGGGGGATTGCGGCAGGCTCGCGCCTCCTCGACGCGGCAGCGATCCCAGCGCGGGCCTTCGAGCGCACGCTACAGGGGCTCATTTCGGGCCCTGGGATCCACAGAACGGAATTTACGGCTGCGAGATCCACACGAAGGGTGGGGTCAAGAGCCTGTGGGGACCTCCAGTTTCCGACTCCCTCTTTACTTTCCGATTTCTGTCGGGTTCCGAGTTGAGAATTGTGGCGCCCCGGCGCACCCGCCGTTCCCTACACAGGACACCCTTTGGGCGACATCGGCGCCGCTCCGCTCCGCTCCGGGAGCGGGGCTCGTTCAAGATTGAGCGGCGGGCCGTGGGAGCATTCCAAAGTCCTGCCACTGGCAGGGCTTGAATAAGGAATACTTACTTTTCAAAATGGACTCGGTCGTTTCTTAGGTTTGCATGCGTTCCGCTACCTTTTTGGCGCTAGAAAGGGGCTTGGCCGTTCGTTCGGACTTCGTAGACTGACTTGGAAAAAAGGGGCTTCCGCGGCCTTCACGCCTTCGGAGATGGCGTGGAAATTGGGCAGACCCCCCAGGGTCTCGAGAATGGCAGGTGTCGCCGTCCGCCCCCGCACGCGCGGCACCGGCTGCTGCCGAACCCTGGAGCTGCCGCCAGACTCGCGCGGTGCCTGCTGGACCACAGCGTCTGCAGAACACCCGCCTGCCGCGGAGGCAGGGCCTTCAGCCGCAGCCCGATGCCCTTGGCCGAGATCGTCTCGTCCCCGCCTGCCAAGGGCGCGCGGCCGAGACGTCGGCCAGATAGCCAGTGACCTGTGCTGGGTCCAGGCGGTGTCCTGTGTCCCTGGGCGTGACGCTGTACGTCGAGAAGGCCTGACTCTCGTCGGAGCGAGGGTGGGTGGGCGACAGCATCTCCCAGCCCAGTCTGCGAACGTGATTCAGGTCGAGGCCAGTAGGCCGCGCGCCGACGCCCAGGTCGGCCTGCCCTCCAAGGCGGCTAGCATGGAGGAGGCGGAGTAGGAGTACGAGGAGGCAGAGGGGGAGGGGAATGTCTCCAGAGGCCTCTAGACATCGCTGGACGGTTTCAGAGATCCCTAGAGGCCTGAATAGTCCCGACATCATTCAAGAAGCCTCGTCATGGTTGAGGAGGAGGAGGCGGAGGAGGATGGGGCTGCTGGGATGTACTGATGCCTGTATCTTCAAGGCCTCGGGTAGGTAAGAGAGATGATGATGCTGTCGCTGTTGACCACGATGATGCTGATGATGATGGCGATCTGATTGTGACGATGGTACTGATGCTGATGATGCTGCTGGTGATGATGCTGGCATCGATGCTGATGTGGATGATGCTGTTGTTAATTATGATACATATGATGATGATGATGATGATGATGATGATGGTGATGATGATGATGATGATGATGATGATGATGATGATGATGACGCTGATGCTGATGCTGATGCTGCTGATGATGATGCTGATGGTGGTGATGGTGGTGGTGATGGTGGTGGTGGTGATGGTGATGATGATGTTGACGCTGATGATGAAGATGGGGGTGATGATGCTGATGATGATGATGATGATGACGATGACGATGACGATGATGATGATGATGATGATGATGATGATGATGATGATGATGATGATGATGATGCTGATGATGCTGCTGCTGCTGATGATGATGATGATGATGATGATGATGTGATGATGACGATGGTACTGGTGCTGATGCTGATGTCGATGCCGATGCCGACGCTGACAGCGCGCTGGTGCTGATGCTGATGATGATGATGCTGCTGCTGCTGCCGATATGCTGATATTGATGATGCTGATGATGGTTGTGGTGGTGGCGGTGATGCTGATGCTGCTGACGATGATGATGCTGCTGCTGATGATGATGACGATGACGATGACGATGATGATGATGATGATGATGATGATGATGATGTTCATGATCATGATGGTGATGATGATGATGATGATGATGATGATGCTGATGATGATGATGACGATTCTGATGATTATGATGATGATTATGATGATGCTGCTGATGAATCATGATGATGATGATGATGATGATTCTGCGGATGCTGATGCTGATGCTGATGATGCTGATGCTGATGATGGCGGTGGTGGCGTTGGTGGTGAGGAGGAGGTCGCTAATGCTCATGATGATGATGGTGATGATGATCATGCTGTTGATGGTAGTGATGTTGGTAATGATGATGCTGAGGATGATGCTGCTGCTGATGCCGGTGATTATGATGCTGCTGATGTTGATGATGGTGGTGGTAGGGGATCTGATGCTGCTACTGATGGTGATGATGCTGATGCTGTTGCTTGCTGATGGTGCTAGTGGTGGTGCTGATGATGGTGATGGCGATTATGATTATGGTGATGGTGGTGATGCTGATGCTGATCATGTTGATGGTGCCACTGATGTTCATGGTGATGCCGTTGATGGTGATGCTGATGAGGATAATGATGCCGATTGCGATTCTGGTGATGATGGGGAGAATGATGACGATCATGATGATGCTGATATTGCTGATGACGATGATGATGCTGATGGTAATCTCTATGATGAAAATGTCAGTGACGACGACGACGATGCTGAGGACGATGATGCTGATCGTGCTGGTGATGATGATGATGGTGATGGTGATGCTGATTCTGAGTATGATGATGATTACGATGGTGATGATGCTGATGCTGTTGCTGCCCATGATAATGATGTTGATGATGCTGCTGACGATGCTCCTGCTGCTGATAATAATGCTGATTCTGCTGATGATGGGGATGTTGATGATGATGATGCTGATGATGCTGGTGGTGATTATGATGATGCTGATGATGATGCTGATGACGCTGCTGCTGATGATGATGATGCTGCTGCTGATGATGATGCTGATGCTGATGATGATGCTGATGATGATGTTGCTGATGATGCTTATGATGCTGATGATGATGAGACGGCGGATGACGAGGATGAGGAGGCGGAGGAGGAGGATGAGGAGGAGGAGGCGAGACTGCGGAGGAGGAGGCAGAGGTGGGGGGAGGAGGAGGAGGAGGAGGAGGAGGAGGAGGAGAAGGAGGATGGAGGTTTCAGGGGGATGCGGAGGAGGATGAGGACAAGAAGGACAGGGAGGGTAATGATTCCATTGGTACAAGGACAAGGCCATCCGCATGAGGGGGTGACGTCACATCACCCACACGGGTGATCTACGCGCTATTGCCCAAATTCCTTGCGCTTGGTTGTGCTACGGCCTTGCTTTCTGACTAGGGCCGATAGGGGGCATACCCCGAAGCTCAAGGACCGAGCTCCGAGGTGGCCCCGTAATAGAGGCTCGCTACCTTACATCGTGAGTCCCATCGGGTCAGTGCGGGGGGAGCAGCTGCTGGCCCTTCCGCGTGCCCTCGGAGAGGGGCCGCGCGGGCTTAGCAGGGCGCCCAAGCCAAGGGGCGGGAGGAGACGACGACACGACTTCAAAAGGAGGAGAGGGGAGAGGCGGAAGGCCCGAGACCCTAAGCTGTTGCTGGGTGGGCTCCTGCTACTTCTACATTGTGAATTCCGTGCTCCCCTCTTCCGCTCAGCTCACTTCTCGATCGTTCCGAGAGATGTTCCATGTGATGTCTCTGTTTTCTACCATGTGAGGTAGCTCAGTTCCCCTCGGAGTGTGTGAGGTAGAGCATCCTGGAAGTCACGGTCATTGGTCGGGCCAATGAGGAGCACCCAGGTGGGCATCACGATGGTCATTTTTTTCTCCTCCCACCCTTTAGGTCTGTGCCTGAAGGTACTCCAAACCCTACTTCCCATTACGATGGCAGTGCAGGCGTATTGTTGTGCCCAAGTAGTCTGCCATGGGTAGCACTCCGGGAAACCTCTCTAATGCTTCCCCTGTCTGCCTGTGGGCACGGCCAGCTCCCAACTTGCCTAAATCAGCTCTCCGAGAAACCTCGCTACTGTTTTCTCTTGGGAATATGCAGGCTCCAGTTGGTGTACTCAATGGTGGCCGCTTTAGCTGGCCGTCGTCGTCTCCTCCGACTTGGGTAGCCGAACTTCTCCGCGAATGTCTCGGTGCCATCAGGCATGGTCTGGGTGCTGTCCTCGAGCTTCTGGCTTTCCTTCACCCTCTTCACTTCCTCTGGGTCCGCGTTGTCCTCGTTCTTCAGCTCACTCATGGCGAGTTTCGTTACTCTGTGGGAGCTACTAGTGTGGTGCTGAGAAGGAGGAGGTTGGAGGAGGATGGGGGGGGGATGATGATGCTAATGATGGTGATGATGATGCTGATGCTGCCGATGATCATGATGTTGTTGATGATGATGCTAATGATGATGCTGCTGATGCTGCTGCTGATGCTGATTATGATGCTAATGATGATGCTGATGCTGATGATGATGATGATGATGATGATGATGATGATGATGATGATGATGATGATGATGATGATGATGAGGAGGAGGAGGAGGAGGAGGAGGAGGAGGAGGAGGACGAGGAGCCGTCGTCGCAGTTGCCGCTTTCATTGTCGCTGCCGTCTTCGCCGCCTTCGCCACCGCTGCCGTCATCGCCGCCCTCGTCTTCTCCGTCGCCTTCCCGCGCTGTATTCGCCTCCATCGTTGCCGCCGCCGCCGTCGCGTTCGCCGCTGGCATGGCCGTCGCCGTCGCCGTCGCCTCCTGGCGCGAGGAGTGGCCGCTGCCGCACAACAGCTTCTGCTGTGTGCCGATCTGCGTGGACCATCCGTCTGACGACCGCGTGGCGACCTTCCACTCTGCAGTTTCGCTGGAGCACAAGCAGGCCGCCGCCGTCGTCGTCGTCGTCGCCGTCGCCGTCGCCGTCGCTACCGTCGTCGTTGTCGTTGCCGTCGTCCTCGTCATCGTCGGCCTCGTCGCTGCCGTCGTCGTCCTCGTCTTCGTCGTCGTCGCCGTCGGCGGCGTCCTCTCCGCTCGCTCACAGCGCGAGGCGCCCGCAAGCGCCCTCTCCGCGGGCTCGCTGCCCGCGCTGGGGGCTGGCAAGCAGGGCCCGCGGGGAGGCAGGGGGGCGGAGCTTTTGTTGAGCTCCTCAGAAGGCCCCCAGAGACTTCTACGAAGGATTGCAAAACAAAAACAAAAAAAAACAAACCAATTTTTTGGTGTTTTTTTTTTTTTCTTGCAATCCTTCGTTCAAGTGGGGGCGGAGCTTTGGTTGAGCTCCTCAGAAGGCCCCCAGAGACTTCTAGTCGGGCGTGCCGAAATAGGGGCGGTACATGGAGGCCCGGGGATCGTGGAGTATGCGTTCTGCCGCACGAGACTTGTGCACTCCAATGCCTCATACTCCTCCTCCGCATCGTCCCCCTCCTCATTCTCATCCTCCTCCAACGTCTTGTTCCCTCTCCTCCTCACTCGCCTCTTTGGCTCTGAACCCTTCGAGGCTCGTGTCATGCGGTGCTGAGCCCTTCGGGGCTCGTGCCATGTAGGCTTCGAGCGCTGAACCCTTCGGGGCTCGATCTCTTGGCTTACGCGACCTTGGCGCAGATCACTTCGGGGCTCGTGCCAATCGCGCTGGTCGCGCAGAAACCTTCGGACTCGTGCTCTCTCGCCCACTGGCGCTGAATTTCTTCGGGGTTTCGTGCCCTGGAAGTTCACGGCGCAGCAACCGTTGGGTCTCGTGCTGCGAGGTCTGTTGGCTTGATTGTGCTACTCAACTTTATTAAACCGTTGTTTTTTCGGAAGCAGACGACTTTCTTTTTGGCCGCATTATCCTAATCACTGCCACTTTCCCATTGTTAAGTATCCCCCCCAGGCACACATGCACTCCCGATACTGGTCTTATGAGTTGCATCCGTATTCACACTGCCCCCTGCGATTCCTTCCTACGCCTCGGTCCTCGGACGCGTCTATCCTCTGCCTCTTCATCTGCCTCTTCGTCTTCCTCGTTGCTCTTGGCCTCATCTCCTTCTCCTGCTCAGTATTGCTTCCATCGGAAGTCGTGCACGTTAGGCTTTGCTAGGGGCGGACTCGTTTGTCGTTCTAAGGTAATTGGGGTGTGCATTTTGGGCCGTGTCTCGGTGGAAGCTGGTCGAAGCTGCCAATCAGAAGTGCACATTGCTGGTGGCCTTGGTTATCCAGCTCTTGGATGCGTGGAGCGGCCAGGCGTTATCAGCAAGGGTTCCTGTCAAAGGATGCCTTCAGTAAAGGGTCCTGAGCAATGAGTCATTTGGAAGGCGCCCTTAGAGAACAGGAGACGGGAGGGGTGTCTGACTGCCCTCTCACGCAGCTCACTACACTGAGGGGGGGAGTGGGAGGAGGACATGGTCGCTCCCTCTCTCTCTCTCTCTGTCTCTGCCCCTTCTCTCTCCCCCTCTCCCCCCTGCCCCTCTCCTCTCTCTTTTTCTCCCTCTCTCCCTTTCTCTTTCGCTCTCTCCCTCTCTCTATCAAGGCCACTAACATCGAAGGTGACAGTGCCGAGATTTTGGACGCAACGCAAAGCGCGAAGTACCTGGGCAGGAAACTTACATACCACGACTTCCTCATCACGGAACTCGACAACAAAATTGCGTCGGGCTGGCGCCGATTCAACCAATTGAGACACGAATTGACATGCAAACGCTACCCTTTCGCAAGTCGCCTACGCCTCTTCAGTGGGACCGTAACGCCCAATGTCATGTACGGATGCAGCTCGTGGACCCGAACCAAAGACATGCTTACGCTATTACAGCGTACACAGCGGACAAATATCCGAATCATCGTGGGCACTGGCGGACGGCGCACGCGAGGGAGTCATTGGAACGACGACGAGGAGGACCTCCAACTTAGTAGCGACCAAGAGGAGGAGGGAAATGTAGCAGAGTGCGCAGAGCTTGACGGAGACTGCGCCGAGAGCAACCCAAATAATGACGACAACACTAACAACGACGATTTTGGCAACGGCGGAAGCACTAAAAGCAGCGACAGCGACGACGACGGCGGCAGTACCAGCAGCAACGACGGCGACACCAACAGCAACGACGGACTAGAGCCATGGATGGACTTCATCCGACGAGCGACGTACACAGCCGATGCCCATGCCAGACGCGCGAAAGTCGACGTTTGGGTTTTGCACTGCTGTAGAGCAAAGTGGAGATTGGCCAAGCGGGTTGCCAATTTACCCGCCGACCGCTGGGCGCGACGCGCCGCCGTTTGGCAGCCTCCGCTGCACGACAGAAGACCCGCACGACGAAAACAAGGCGGACAGCGGAGGCGTTGGGACCACGAGGTCGTCAAATGTTGAGGCACTACGGATGTGATTGGCCACAGCAAGAGGCTCCCCGATGATACAAGCTACGAATGGTGGTTTGCACTGGCGAACGATAGCTGCACTTGGTGGGGCTTCGAGGACAGGTTGGTGCGATACGCCGTCGACCAGCAAAGCACGGACGACGCGAATTGAGACACCCGGCCCGTCCGCCAGGACGTTATATCGAACCAGAGCGAGCTGGACATGCGCACCAATTCCAAGTTTTGGACCTCCACCTTCCAACCCCCAGCTCTCACGTCCACGTCCCGACTTCCAGCATGCGACATCCGATTTTGCACTTCCCCCACCCATCGACCTCCAGCTTCTTCCAGCTCACCACTCCCCACCTCCAGCATCCAGCATTGCGACTTCCACTTCCACCTCCACCCGTCGACCTCCGGCGTCCAGCAGCGCAGCGCTCCGACCTCCATCCTCCAGCAGACTCCAGCAGCGTGTGACTTTCCACTTCCACCTCCACCACCGCCCGTCGACCTCCAGCGCCCAGCAGCTCAGCACTCCGACCTCCGCCCTCCGGCATCCGACTTTCCACCTCCACCTCCACCTGCCGACCACCCAGCACTCCGACTCCAGCATCTGGCTTCCGACTCTCCACTTCCGCCTGCGCCGCTTGTCCTCCGGCGTCCACCAGCTCATAACTCAGCGCCCCGACCTCGTCAAACAAAGGCTACGCGCACTGAGGGCCCAGGCCCCCCCGCGCAGGCCCGAAAGGGCCCCGCTCTCGGCGGTGCCGCGCGCTCGCCTCGCCTCGCCTCGCCTCGCGTCGCCTCGCGTCGCCTCGCCTCGCCTCGCCTCGCCTCGCCTCGCCTCGCCTCTCTCTCTCTCTCTCTCCTTTTTTTTCGCTCTCTCTCTCTCTATATCTTTATATATATATATATACGTATGTATATATATATTCTCTCTCTCTCTCTCTTTCTTTCTCTCTCTCTCTCCCTTCTTCTCTCTCCTTCTCTCTCTCTCTCTCTTTCTCTCTCCTTTTTTTCTGTCTCTCTCTCTCTCTTTTCTTATCTCTCCTTCTCTCTCTTTCTCTTTTTTTTTTTTTTTGTTTTCTCTCTCTCTCTCTCTCTTTCTGTCTCTCTCTCTCTCTCTCTCTGTCTCTCTCTCTCTCTCTCTTTCTCTCTCTCTCTCTCCCCCCTTTTTTTCTCTTCTTCTCTCTTCTTGTCTCTTTTTCTCGCTTTGTTGTCTCGCTCTCTCTCTCTCTCTATCTCTGTCTCTCTTTCTCTCTCGTTCTCTTTCTCTTCCTCTTCATTGTTTCCAAGGTTTTTTGTTGTTTCTCTCTCTCTCTCTCTCTTTCCCTCCTTCCCCTCTCACGCTCATGCGCGGCCCAGCCACTGACCCCCCTATGAGACGCCATGCGGACACCTTCACTGGGGCCATAGCTGGAGATCGTTCGTTGGGATGTCCTTACTCAGCATTCCTTTTTTAATTATTAAACAAAAGGGGATATGCAATGAGGACGTCTGCAGTACGCATTCCTTATCAAAAGGGTGTTTGTGCCAAGGGGCCTACATCTGGATCTGTTTTTTTGACGGACTATTTAGAAGGGATGCGTTTGGTAAACATCCGTGGGTAACGATACCTGGGGCAATGGTTCCTTAATCCGGATCCTTTTGATGAGTAACCCTTAGTGAGGATGCCATAGGTGCGTGTCCCTTCAGTCAGGATCGCTGTATTAAGACGTGGTTGTTCATGCTCATTTGTGTCGGGGTTTCTTATCACGGATGCCTTTAGTAAGGGTGCTTTCGGTACGGAGGCCCTTCAGAAATGATCTCAGCAGTAAAGAGCTCGTTTTACTATGTTTATTCGCGTGATTCGCATGCCTTCACTTCAGGAATCGTTCATTCGCACGGATGCCTGTTGTACAAGGGTGATTCGGACGAACCCTTTCACATGGGAAACTCTTAGTGTGGATGCCTTCAGTAGGCAATTATTGATATTGCTGCCTTTGCAAGCGGACCCTTCGTGCGCATTTTTTGTCGTGAGGAGTTTTTGGCGGTGATGCCGTTAGCACGGCCACCCTTTGGTAAGGAACCCTCTAGTACGGATTCCTTACTCCTTTTTCTTGTAGCAAGGGTTCTGTAGTAAGGATACGTTTAATAAGGGGTCCTTGCCATTGATGCGTTAAGCACGGCCTTCTTAGTGCGGATTCCTGTGGTAAGGGTCCTCTCGGTACGTACCCGTGCTATCCACATTTCCATTCTGCACAGGTCCCTTACGTACTCAGGAAGCGGTTTTTTAGTAATGGTACCTTGAGTAATGGGGTCCATGGTGCGGATGCTTTTAGTTCGGCTTCCTAAGTGGGGATTATTTCAGTAAGGGCCCCCCTGTGTGAGGACCCCTGTGGCAAGGACGCTTTACTAATTCTTGACGCTTCGCGTATCCCCACCAACTAAGTCTTGACTAATTCTTGACGCTGTTGGCTGCACCCCCCCTCCACCGCGTGGTCAGGTTCAGCCCTGGCTGCGATTTGCGCTCCTTGAGTGGGTCGCGGCAGCTGCGGATCTCGGTGACTCTCGTGGCCGCTCCCTGCGAGGTTGCAGTGTACCGGCTTGGCCTGCGTGCTCTCTCTCATCGTTGCAGCTCCGGCCAGCCGCTACCAGATACGATGACTGAGACATGTGTACATTGCGGCTGTTGGCTGCACCCCCCCTCCACCCCGTGGTCAGATTCAGCCCTGACTGCGCTCCAGCGCTCCATGAGCTGGTCGCGGCTGCAGCGAACCTCGGCGACATTCGTGGCCGGTATCCGCGAGGTTGCAGTGTACCGGCTCTTGGGCCTGCGTGTCCTCTCTCATCGTTGCTTCCCTGGCCTGTCACTGGTTTCGGATACGATGACTGACACACCGGCCCCCCCCCCGGGCAGCGGTGTGGATCGTGGAGTGAGTGCTTTGTAGGTCCCTGCCGTTACTCTGCCCCTGTTTCTCCGCCGACCCCGCGTACGGCGGTGGTGTTCGGACTTCGCGCTGAGTGGTTCAGCCTTCAGCGTTGTATTTTCTGTTATCACTGCCTGCTGTCGGCTAGGGGAGCTGCTCGGGGCTTGGCGCCGACAGGGCGACTTTCTCCGTTGCGCTCGCACTGCTGTCCGCTTCACCTCGGTGTGGCCGGCGCCTATGTGCGTTTGCCTTGATGCGGAGCATTTTGCTCAGTGCATGTGCACTCCACGCATCGCGTGTAATTTGCCGTGTTCCGTTGCCCCAGGCATCGCTGTTGCCGCCAGACCGTTGTCGCGCGGCCGCCGGCCAAAAAAGTACCCCCACCAACCCATCCATACTTGATAGCCAGTTTTCTTGAGGCCTCTTTGGAGGCTATCTTGAGCCATGCTCGGCTAGAGGCTGTCGGAGGGTATCTTGAGCCATGCTCGGCTATCTTGGGCCATCTTGGGGCCCACTTGAGGATCTTTTGGGAGAGTCTTGGAGCCCTCTTGGGGCTTCTTGGGGGGTCTGGTAGGCCTCTTGGGGCCGTCTGGGGCACCATGACTCAAACAGGGGGGGGGTGGGGGGGGGGGGGGTTCCCACCCCCCCCCCCCCCCCCCCCCCCCCCCCCCCCCCCCTCGGAGGCTCTCAAACGGCATCTTGGGGCCCTCTTGGAGCGCTCCTGGGCGCCTCTTGGGCGATCTTGGGGCCGTCTTCGGCCTGCTTTGGCTCCTCTTGGCTTTCTTTTGGGCCATCTTGGGGCCATCTTGAGGTTTCCAAAGCCCATCGGAAGCGAAAGTGCGATAATGCCAAAAACATTGATTTCTCCAAGGCTTTTGAACGGTCTTGGCATTTTGGAGGGCGCCGTGGGGGGCTCGAAGGGCACTGGATCCTGCTCGGGGCAGTCTTGGGCCTCTTGGGGGTATGTCGGAGGCTATCTTGACCCATCTTGAAGTAGCATGGGCCATCTTGGGGGCCATCTTGCGACTTCGAAGTCCTCTTGTAGCAATCTTGGGCCATCTTGGGCGCTCTAACGCCTCGGCGCCCCCCCCTCCTGGCCCAGGGGGTGAGGTGGGGGGGGGGTTCAGTGGGAGAGAGAAGAAAAAACGCGCTATACCACCTGAGCCCACAGGACTTGTGGGATTCATGTTTTGCGTATCCCCGCCCTGCCGGCAGAGGGCCGCGGCCGCCGCTCGCGCCGCCGGCCCCTCCGCTGCCGGCGCCGCGGCCGCGCGCGGTCTGCCGCGGGCCTCGGCGCAGGGCGGGCCCGCCGCGGCCTCCGCCGTGGCCGCTGCCGCGGACGCCGACGCGCGGGCCGCCGCGGCCGCCGGCGCCGCGGGCGCCGCGAGCGCCGCGGCAGTGGCCGCGGCCGCTGGCGCCTCGGTTGCCGCTGCTGCCGCCTGTGCCGTGGCCGCCGCCGGCGCCCCCAGCGCTGCGGCGGCCGCGGGCGCCCCTGGTGCGCGCGCTGGCGCCGCTGCTGCTGCCGCTGGCGCGGCGCGCGCTGCGGCCGCCGCGTGCGCCGCTGGCGCCGCCGGCGCCGCGTGCGCCAGGGGCCGCGCGGGCGCCGCCGCGCACGCTGCCGGCGCCTGACGCGCCGCTGGCGCCGCGGGCGCTGCCGCCGAGGCCGCCGCCGCGGCGGCTGCCGCAGGCCCGTGGGCCGTGGCGGCCGCCCTCTCCCGCGCGGCGGCCGCCGCCGCCGCTGCGGCGACGGTGCCGGGCGGGCCGACTGACCTGGCGCTGGGCTGCCAGCCCTGCGGCCAGCCCGACTGCCAGATCCGCGGCCGGCCCCGCGGCCTACCCCGCGGCCAGCCTTGCTGCCGGCCCCACGGCCAGTCCGACGGCCAGCCCCGCGGCCAGCCCGACTGCCAGCCCTACGGCCGGCCCCGCGGCAAGCCCGACGGCCAGCCCCGCGGCCTGCCCGGCAGTCAGCCCCACGGTCAGCCCGACTGCCGGCCCCGCTGCCAGCCCGACGGCCAGCCCGACGGCCAGCCCGACGGCCGACCCCGCGGCCAGCCCGACTGCCAGCCTGACGGCCGTCGTCCTGTCGACGCTCTCCTGGGACCGCCTGGCACGCGCGGCTGTGCAACAAAGCTGCCCGGCGGCGTGACCGCGACGCAGACCCAGCGCGCCGAGGGGTGGGCTGGCGCCCCGCCTACGCAGGGCGTTTCCCTTGAGACTGACTTGTCTCCTCCCTCCCTGCCCGTGACTCCTCGAGATGCGACGGTTAGTCTCCCGCGCTGGGAAGATTGCGAAATGAGTCGCTTCCACCGGGGGGGGGCGCGAAAATATTCGCGAATCGCAGGGGGAGGAGCAGGGGTAAGTCAGGGCGGGCCTTGCCGACCGCCCCGCGCAACCCGCTGGCAGCGCGACCTCTTGGCACGCCCAACCGCCTCGGATTCCAACGGGCTCTGCGACTGTCAGTCGCCGCCGCCGGGGAGAATGCGACGATCGTCGCGAGTCGCAGGGTGAGGGGCAGGGGGAAGACAGGGGGGGCTTTGCCGATCGTCCAACGCAACCCGCTGGGAACGCGACCCCTGGGAACACCTGGCCGCCTCGGATTCCAACAGACTCTGCGATGGTCGTTCACCTGCGCCGGGGGGATTGCGAAATGGGTCGCGAGCCACGGGAGAAGGGGCAGGGAAAAGACAGAGAGGACCTTGCCGACCGTCCAACACAACCCACTGGCAACACGACCTCTGGGGGCACCCAGCCGCATCGGGTTCTAATTCCTGCTGCGACGGTCAGTCGCTTCCACTGAGAAGAATGCGAAGATAGTCGCGAGTCGCAAGGTGAGGGGCAGGGGGGAGACAGTGCTGAACGCCCAACACAACCCACTGGCAACGCGACCCCTGGGAACACCCAGCCGCCTCGGATTCCAAGGGGTTCTGCGATGGTTAGTCACCTGCGCCGGGAAGAGCGCGAAATGGGTCGCGAGCCGCAGGGGAAGGGGCAGGGGGGGAGAAGACAGAGAGCACCTTGCCGACCGTCCAACGTAACCCACTAGCGACACGACCTCTGGGAACACCCGGCCGCCTCGGATTCCAACTTACTTTGCGACGGTTTGTCGCCTCCCCTGGGATGAGTGTGAAGATAGTCGCGAGTCGCAGGAGGAAGGGGGCGCCGCTCCCGACGCCCAACCTGACGCCCTACCCAGCGCTCTACCTGATGCTTTGCCCGACGCCCAATCCCACGGCCAGCTCTTCGGCCAGCCCGACGGCCAACCCGACGGCCTGCCCGACAGTGATGCCACCCTCCAGACGGCACTGGGAAGTTCCACTGCGCCCGCGCGTCAGCTTTCCCCTGACGAGCGGGGCAGCGAAACCATCCTTCAGCTGGTTGCGATGAGCCCTTGCGCCCCCATTCGTCCTCCCTCCCCTGCCGGCGACAAAATGCGGACGGGCGCCTCGACCGGCGGCCGCGGGGCAACCCCTGCGCCCCTTCAAAGCTCGCCAGGCCCCCCCTCTCGGGTGGGGGCGTGAGCTCGACCGCCGGGGCAGGCCGGCAGCCCGACTGGGGGGCGTCCTCGACGCGTCGGACGGGAAGTGGGTAGATGCCCAGGCTGTTCGCCGATCGCCAGCGTCCAAGACCACGGGGCTCCCGCACTGGGAGGCCGCTCTATAGAGCCCGGGCCCGCGACTCCCACTGGGAACCCCGCGGAGTGTCACCAAACGAGACGATCGGGCACCTTCGGGTCGCCCTGGGTGCATCGTTCGCAGCCGTCTGGCACGCTTTCGTCGAGCATCGCGCCGCCCCTGGCACCGCGCGCGTTTTCGACCCGCGTCGGCGCGATCAGCGAACCTGTGTGTCGCCTTCCTGACCTCACTTCGCAGCCGCAGCTGCGATGCTCGGGCCATGAGCGACTCATTGGGCCTGGGTATCGACTGGGCGCAACTGCGTGGACAACACTTGGGGCACCGCGTCGGCGCGAACAGGGGGCGCCGGGCACCCTTGCGAGATGGTGGGGATCTCGTGGTCGCCGACGCTGGCCGTTCGCTGTAGGGTGGGAGTGTTCTCGTGCGAGGTCGGGCCCTTGGCGTCGGAGGTGCGGCCGTCTGCTTCCGCCCCCGCGTCGACGGCGTCTGCGTGCTGTCAGCGCCCCGCCAAAATCAGAGCGCCTGGCGTGCGCGTCAGTGTACGCAGGGTTATGGTCAGCTCTTCCCCCTTCTCCTGCGCCGTGTGCCTAGCGTGCGCGTCCCTCCCTCCCCCCATGCCCCCCCCCCCTCCCTGCCCATGATTCCTCGAGATGCGACGGTTAGTCGCCTGCGCCGGGAAGATTGCGAAATGGGTCGCATCCACCGGGAAGAGCTCGAAGGTAGTCGCGAATCACAGGGGTAGGAGCAGGAAGAAGACAGGGGGGGCCTTGCCGACCGTCCAGCACAAGCCGCTGGCAACGCGACCTCTTGGCACACCCAACCGCCTCGGATTCCAACGGACTCTGCGACGGTCAGTCGCCGCCGCCGGGAAGAATGCGATGGTAGTCGCGAGTCGCAGGGTGAGGGGCAGGGGGGAGACAGGGGGGGCTTTGCCGATCGCCCAACACAACCCGCTGGCAACGCGACCCCAGGAACACCCGGCCGCCTCGGATTCCAACAGACTCTGCGATGGTCGTTTACCTACACCGGGAAGAGTGCGAAATGGGTCGCGAGCCACAGGAGAAGGGGTAGGGAGAAGACAGAGAGGACCTTGCCGACCGCCCAACACAATCCACTGGCAACACGACCTCTGGGAACACCCAGCCGCCTCGGTTTCCAACAGACTCTGCGACGGTCAGTCGTTTCCACTGGGACAAGTGCGCAGATAGTCGCGAGTCGCAGGGTGAGGGGCAGGGAGAAGACAGAGAGAACCTTACTGACCGTCCAACACAACCCACTGGCAGCACGACCCCTGGGAATACCGAGCTGCCTCGGATTCCAAGGGATTCTGCGATGGTTAGTCACCTGCGCCGGGAAGAGTGCGAAATTTGTCGCGAACCGCAGGGGAAGCGGCAGAGAGAAGACAGAGAGGACCTTGCCGACCGTCCAACACAGTCCATTGGCGACACGACCCCTGGGAACACCCAGCCGCCTCGGATTCCAACAGACTCTGCGACGTTCAGTCGCCTCCACTGGGGGGGCGTGAAGGTAGCTGTAAGTCGCAGGAGGAAGGGGGGCCCTCCGCTGGGGAGGAGCTTAGTTGGCACAGTCAGGGTTGGCATAGCCAGCCAGGGTTGGCACAGGCGTGGTTGGCATAGTCAGCGCGGTCGGAAATGACACAGCCACGATTGGCATATTCAGCAAAATCTGCTCGAGTACATGTTCTACCATTCTCCTCCTCTCCTCTCGCACCGTGTGCCTGGCGTGCACTTCCTTTCCCCCCTCCTACATCCTAGTGCTGCAGCGGTTAGCTGCCGCACCGGGGTGCCTACTGTGCCTGGCGTGCACCTCCCCTCCTCTCCCTGGTTTCACCGGGTTTATCCCGCGCGGCTGAGGTTGCCGCCAATACTGCTGTCTGATGGTGCTTTGACAGCCGGAATTCCATGCCAGGATCAGACTGGGAATGGGCGGTCAGGTGGCCCGTGGCCTGCTCCTGGCTGGTGTCGGCCTCCACTGGTGACCGAAAGGGTTCAGTGGGGTTTCGCTACGGATTCCATGCCAGGATCACACTGGGAATGGGCGGTCAGGTGGCCCCTGGCCTGCTCCTGGCTGGTGTCGGCCTCCACTTGCGACCGAAAGGGTTCACTGGGGTCTCGCTACGCTTATCACCTCTACGGTGCAAGGACTTCGGCATGTGTGGCTCTGTGCGCCCGTCGGCTGTTTTCTCCTGCAAGGACTCCGCTTTCGACAAGTGCCGCCGCTGTACAAACACGAGTTACTGCCGTTTGCAGTCCTATCTGTGACGAGGTTGCCCCTCTTCGCTCTTGCGCTGACACGATGTTGGCATTTGTGTTCGTCCACTTCGCGGATGTCATCTGGGGGTGCGTGTCGGTCTCGTTCGTTCTGACGCTGCCGTCCGAGCCACCCACAGTTTTCGACCTATGCGTGATTTCGGTCGCACCGCCGCGCCATTTTGGCTGCGTCTATTTGCTGGTAGCCCCCGGGATTTTCGGACGCCGCCGGGAATTGGTGCACCTGTTCTTCTCGCCCTTCTGAGCTGCCGCCCGGCTGCTGCGCCTGTCTTGCTTTTCGCTATTCGCTGCCTAGTCGTGGCCCGGCCAGAGTTTAGACGCCTTCTGACCCGCTTCACGAGGCCGTTGGTCAAACATATCCCCACCAGCCCATTCAGAAACCCTGCCCATGAGAGTTGACGGAAGACGGGGCGAGCAAACACACAAAGTGAAACAACGCGGGCAACCGATGTGAACAACTCGATCGTTGGGGGCAGCGGGGTGGCCTTGGAGGGTCTCTTCGGGTCATTTCTGGGGAGGAGCACGACGCCAAGGAAGAGGAACAAACGAAAACGGATTATAATAGGAGGAAGAGGAGGACAATGAGGACGAGAACGGAGCTTTCAAAATCCCTTCTGGGAGCCCTGTTTGGACTCTTTTGGGGGATATTGGGATCCTCTTGTGTCTCTTTTGGGTTGTCATGGGGCCCTCTTGGCGCCCGTTTGGGGCTCTCTTCGGGCCATTTGGGGGCTCCGGAGGGCCTCTTGGGGCTATCTTGGAGGCGATCGATCAATGGAACGGGTTTCTTCGATCCCTCCCCCACCTGAAGACATCAGCGTCGCCGCTCGGGCCGATCTTAGGCGCTCTTCGCGCCTTTTTGGGGGCCTCCTGAGCCTCTCTTGGGCCGGTCTTGGGCTGTCATCGGGCCTTTTTGAGGCTTCGAAAGCGCATCGGAAGCGAACAGGCGAGACGGCAACCATCATTGATTGTCCTTCGGCGTTTGAAGGATTTTGACCTCTTGGGGGGGTTCAGAAGGGGCTCCAGGATCACTTGGGAGTGTCTTGCGGCCTTCGTCGGGCCTCTTGGAGGTATGTCGGACGTTGTATTGAACCATCGTTGACTATCTTGAGCCGCCTTGAACGCCTGCCCTTTTGGAGCCATCGTGGGCGAAACATATCCTCTAACCCATCGCGCCCCCCCCCCCGAACAAACCTCGGGGAGGGGAAGGGCAGGGTACCCCTCCCCGATGGGACGAGGGTCTTTGAAAGAGGAACGAACTCGCTAGGCCATTTTAACCACCTGGGCTGGTGGGATTCTTCTTCATGTCTGGCGGTGGTGGCGTAGGCGGTGATACTGTTGCTCCGGGGGGTGGGGCGATGCCAGCCAAACAGTTTACAAACTGACCCCCTCCCCCCCGCCGCGGCCTCCCCTTCCTCCCCCTGCTTGAGAGGTGGGAGGGTAGTGGGGGAGGACGCGCAACCATAACAAACTGACCCCCTCCCCCCTGCCACAATGTCCCCCTGCTTGGGAGGGGAGAGGGCGGGGGGAGGGACACACGAGACACCACACAACTTGACCCCCCATCCCCTGGCCCCCTGGGGGGAGGAGGTCAAATCCACCACACTACGAATCATTACGTGAATTTCCCGCCCGAGGAGGAGGAGAAGGAGGAGGAGAAAAAGGAGAAGGAAGAGGAGGAAAAGGAGGAGGAGGAGGAGGAGGATGATGATGAGGAGGAGGAGGAGGAGGAGGACGAGGAGGAGGAGGAGGAGGAGGAGGAGGAGGAGGAGGGGGAGGAGGAGGAGGAGGAGGAGATGGAGGAGGAGGAAAAGGAGGACGAGGAGGAAGAGCAGGAGGACGAGGAGGAGGAGGAGGATGAGGAGGAGGGAGAGGAGGAGGAGGTGGAGGAGGAGGAGGAGGAGGAGGAGGAGGAGGAGGCAAAGGAGGAGGACGAGGAGGAGGAGGAGGAGGTGGAGGGTGAGGAGCAGGATGAGGAGCAGGAGCTAGGAGGAGTAAGAGGAGGAGGAGGAGGAGGAGGAGGAGGAGGAGGTGGAGGAGGAGGGCAATCGCGCAGAAAGAGCTCGGAGAGCATTCGAGGGCGCACCTGACGCACTCCAGACTGCAAGAAGACCGAGAGAAGGAGAAGAAAGGACAGCCGTGGCACGAACGGGCCCCGCGGCCGCATGCTCGAGACTCCCCTCTCCTCGATGCACGGGGGCTTGGCATTGCCTTGGCGTGTGCTTTTGATCTCGGCGAGGACCTTCGAGGAGCATCCTCGACCATCGGGCCCCAAAAAACACGCACGAAACCGAAACATGCAAGGGGAACGAACGTCCGAGCGATGGCAAGCTAGGGGCCTCGACGGTGAGCGGAACGTGTGCACACCTCATCGCCTCTCATTTTTGCTGTGGCCTGGGAAGCTTTCCGAGACCTCTGGGGGAGGATGTCGGTCGGGGCTAGGACGAAGATACGTCCGTTTCAGAGCGTTCCGGAACGCTCTGAGAAGGCAGCGGCGCCCGAGACATCTCCCAGATCCGCGAGATCTCAGACATTCTCGATTTTATCTTTACCAGAATGAGTCCTCGTCCTGGCTTAGTCTGACGATGGGGGGTACGAGTGTGACATGGGGGAGAGGATCCAGGAGTGCCTCTTCCCAGGCCTCCCGAGTTGGGTCCTCGCTCTCAGTAGAGCGCTGCTGCTCCTCTCTCTCTCTCTCTCTCCCTCCGCCCGCTCCATCCTCTTCCCTTCGTCCATGCACCCTTATCTTCGCCCTCTCCTGGCTTCACCCGTTCTTCCTCCTCACTCTTCTTCCTCGCCCTCCCTGGGCGCTGCGAACAGCGCGACTGTTTCTACTGTCTTGAGCTCCTGGGAGCTCCAGCGGAGACAGGTGTCCACCCCATGGTCTTGCCATGCGTTTTGGGTGGGTTGGGTACGCGCATTGCTAATTCTTGCCGCTTCGCGCATGGACCAGGAAAGTGTGGGGTACGCGGTGGAACAAAGCGGGGTGGGGGCAGCCAGTAAACCGAAGATCGGGATGGGGCTTAGCAAGCCCAGGAGTGAAGCAGAACTGCCTTCGCGGATCCTTCGATGTAGGAGCCTCTTGGCAGCTCACTCAGGCCATCTTGGGCTTCTCTTGGGGCCATCTCGGAGGCCTGTGGGGCTCTCTTGAAGCTCTCTTGAGGTTCTCTTGTGGCTCTTGAGGCCCTCTTGGTGGTCCTTTTGTGTCTATCTTGGAGGCCGTCTTCTAAAAAGGGGGGGGTCTTCAATTAGCCTCCCCCCGCCGGATGCTGAATAATTGCCTCTTGGGTCTCTCTTGGGGCGCTCTTGGGGCGCTCTTGGGGCGCTCTTGGGCGCTCTTGGAGCTCTCTTGAGCCATGTTGGAGCCATCCTGAGGCCTCAGAAGTCCATCGAAGGCGAACATACGAAAGCACAAAGCATTCACTTCCTTGGGTTTGGATGGATCTTGGCCTCTCGGGGGCGTCCTTGGCAGGCTCTGTGGCCGCTTGGCCCCGTGTTGGGGCGACCTTGGAGCCTCGTGGAGGCATGGCGGAAGCTATCTTCAGCCATAGTAGGATCTTTTGAACCATGTTGGTGTTAGGCCATCTGGGGCCATCTTGGAGCGATCTTGGGCCATCTTGGACGCTGTATTCCTTTGCCGCCCCCCTTTTGAAATCCAGGGGTAGGGGGTAGGGGGAGAGGTCAATAGACCCTTCCCGCCCGCAAGTTGTCTCGCTCACTCCCGCCCGCCCTCCTAAAAAATAAGTTGCACTTGGGCCTCAGCATGCATGGGCAACTGCGAGCGAACCAATACAGACCCCATTTGCGTGATGGGGCGACGTGCGCCACGCGTGCCAGGCGTTCCAGGTGCGCCAGGCATCCCTGGGGCCCAAGCATGCCAGGCACGCCTCGCGCGCCAGATGCGCCACGTGTCATGCGCCATGTGTGCAACGACACGACGGCGACGACTCAAACGGAAAAGCGTCTCACACACGCCGAGGGGTCGGCGGATTTTAAGACGAATGCGAACGTCGTTACTGAGCCACATATCGAACACGTACCGGCCTCCATGCGTGTATTGTTGGAAGCGTTTCAGACGAATGTGCACAGCGCTGAGCGGAGAGCCACCTTTTGAAATGGTACCTCTGTCAAACCGTGTGGCAGTTGGAAAATGTAAGCTGCAGGATAATGTAGCTTGCAAGCAAGTCTCGAGCGAAACGCCTGACCCGGCCTGCGGACACGTCTGGTGTTGCGAAGCAGTTACTTATCAAATTCCCTGCGGCAAGCCCCGCCACCGTGCCAGCACCGCATTCTCGGTGGTCCTTGCGCGAGGGGGGCGGGAGGTCCTAAGGTGTGTCACCTCGAGCGGCGGTAGATGCACTCAGGGTGGCGACGGTTGGAGCAAGTCCAGAAAGCCGCACAAGTGTCTTACCGCTGGACTTGGACTTGCTTGGCCTGTCCGAGGGCTGGCTGCGGCGACTGCTCGGGCAACGCCGACAGGTATCATATGTGACACCTCCGCGGTTTCTAGCCCATCCCGCATAGCCGTGCTTCACTCATGGAGCGGAGTAGGATGATTCGGCGAGGGAAGGACCTGAAGACGATGTTCACGAGGACGACGATGATGATGATGATGATGATGATGATGATGATGATGATGATGATGATGAGGATGATGAGGATGATGATGATGATGATGACGATGATCAGGAAAATGATGATGCTGCTGCCGATGATTAGGATGGATGTGATGACCATGCTGATAATTAACATGCTGATGATGATCATGATGAACATGATGAACCTGGTGGTGATGATGATGCTGCTGATGCTGATGATGATGCTGATGCAGCTGCTGATGCTGATGACGATGATGATGCTCATGATGCTGATGATGATGATGATGCTGATGATGATGATAATGACGATGATGATGATGATGATGATTATGATGATGATGATGATGATGATGATGATGATGATGCTGATGATGACGATGATGATGATGATGATGATGCTGATGATGATGATGATGATGAGGATGAGGATGATGATGATGATGATGATGATGATGATGATGATGATGATGATGATGATGATGATAATGATGCCGATGATGGTAATGCTGAGGACGAGGATGGGGACGGCGGTTTGAATGATGCTACTGATTATGATGGTAGGAAGGGCGAGGAAGAGTGGGAGGAGGCGGAGGATAACCGTCGCACTTGACACCTGTCTTCTTCACTTCTCGACGAGTTCAGATGAACCTGATTTGTGCTGTCTTGGGGCTGTCCTGGTTTCTTGTAGGGCAGTCTTGGGGGTACCGTTGGGGCCCTCTTGATCCGTCTTGGGGCCTCTGTGGCCGTCTCGGGGCTCTCTTGGGTCCCTCGTGGTCGTCTCGGGGGTCTCTTGGGGCCGTCGTCAGCCCGTCTTGCGCTGTCCAGGGGTAAGCTTAGCCCGTCTTGGGTCCCTCCAGAGGCCCTCTTGGGCCACCTTAAGTTTCTCTTGGGTTCGTCTTGGGCCTTCCAGGGCCCCTTGGGCTCTCTTGATGCCGTCTTAGGTCGTCGCACGGGCATTTGGGCCATTTTGAGTTGGCGGAAGACCGAACAGGCGAGAATGCGATTCATCATGAGAACCCTGAGGACAATCACTGATTTTGGCATCTTCGGGCCCTGCTAATAATTCTCTAGGAGCCGTCTTGAAAGCCTCTTGGGCAGGCCTGAAGCCCTCTTGGGCTGTCTTGGTGCCATCTTGGGTCGTCATGGAGGCATCTTGGGCCATCTTGGCGGCCTTGGCGGCCTGCCTGGGCCAGCTTGGAAGCCCTCTTGGTCATCTTCGACTCCCTGGAGAGCGCCGGGGACGTGTCTGGACGTTGACGGAGCAGAGCCTCGGGGGGGGGTGGGGCGATGCGTGCGGGACTGCCGCTGGACCCCACCCCCGCAGCGCAGGCCATGAAGGACCTGAGCTTCCGCTTCTGGAGCGCGCACGCGAGCAGCAGCGACGCCGAGCCGGGCTGGAGCGACTGGATCAAGATGGGCCAGCTGCCCGACCAGGATTTCGCGGGTGGGAGGCGGCTCGGGAGGGGTGAGGATCGGGGAACGAACAATGACACACACACATACAGATTCGGCGGTCCGCGCTGATTTCTCGGATCGGCGCTGGGGCCCCCTGGAGGCGCCTCCGGCGCCGCCCTTGGCGCGCTCCGCGCGCCACTGAGGGAGGTCCAGCGCGGATCCAAGACATCCGCGCGGACCTGCGAGTTTTTATATTTATGCCATTTTTCGTTCCCCTCGAGGAGGGCAAGTTCAGTGCCCACTTCGATCCCATCGATCGGATCACTGCCCCTCTTCTCCTCCCCCCTTCCTTCCTCCCCCCCTTCTCCTCCGCCTTTGCGCTTTGCGCGCGTCTATTCGGCGCGCTGGGTGAGGAAGTAAACGGCTTTCAAGTGCACCCCCCCCAGCCGCACCAGTATGTCTTTAAGCAGGCTTCAGGTGTTTGGCGGCATTTGCGTGTACCGCCCAGCTGCTGAATCGTGCTGTCAGCTCCCATCTTCTCCCTCTTCAAGATACCTCGGTCGGGTCGATCGGATCCGGTATCGGTATCTTTTACGGCGGGCGCGACCCAATTCGATTCGGATATTCAGACGGTCCGATACGTCCCGACGCTTGCATTGCGCTGTGGTGCATCTTGGCGCAACCGAGACCGATTCGATTCCGGTCCCTTGCCGATGCAGCAAACAGCCGCGATGTCTCAATTGGATCCGCGTGTCCCTCTGCCCCGCTGGACGTCCCATCAGCTCACGAGGGTAGCGACAGTTGCACAGCTGGCAACCTCCTTGGAGGGCGAGGTAGGAGGCGGGGAAGGAGAGGCATGAGGAGAGAAAATGAGAGAGGCGGGAGGAGGATGGAGACCACAGTGCTCTATTCAAACAAGGAGCCCGACACAGGAGGGTTGGGAACCAGGTCCACAGTGCTTTCCGCGCGCCGCCCAGCAGAATGACATCGAGCACGTCTCGCGCGAAGCCGTCGTTTCTATCTCCCTTTTATCCGTAAGGGCCTCGCCTCCTGCCGCCGGCCCCCACTCTCGGAGAATCGGCTATGGAAGAGCGAAGTCATGAGGCTTTGGCTTCGCCGTGAAGCAGTGTCGGGACCTGTTTGTTTTTCGACCCTGACCCTACGGATCTGCGTGAGGGGTGCCGCCGAATTTCAGAAATGTAGCAAATCCCTTGTGTTTTTGGACCCTGACCCCGCCGATCTGCGTGAGGGGTGCCACCGAATTTCAGAAATGTTGCAAATCCCATGTGTGTTTTGGACCCTGACCCCGCCGATCTGCATGAGGGGTGCCGCCGAATTTCAAACATGCGGCAAATCCCATGTGTTTTTGGACCCTGACCCTGCCGATCTGCGTGAGTGGTGCCACCGAATTTCAGAAATGTGGCAAATCCCATTTGTTGTTGGACCTTGACCCCGCCGATTTGTATGAGGGGTGTCGCCGAATTTCAGAAATGTGGCAAATCCCATGTGTTTTTGGACCCCGACCCCGCCGATCTGCGTGAGGGGTGCCACCGAATTTCAGAAATGTAGCAAATCCCATGTGTTTTTGGACCCTGACCCTGCCGATCTGCGTGAGAGGTGTCACCGAATTTTAGAAATGTGGCAAACTCGATGTGTTTTTGGACCCTGACCCCGCCGATCTGCGTGAGGGGTGCCACCGAATTTTAGAAATTTCCCCCATCAGAGCTTGCCTCTGTAGGGGTCCTAGTGGATTAAAGGGTTAGGTGAGGTGCGTCGCCGATTTCGGTGGCCGGGCCCGTGTGCCCGGGTGCCCGGGTGCCCGGCGGTGCCCGGGTGCCCGGGTGGCCGGTGAGGTGCATGGCCGATTTCGGTGGCTAGGCCCGGGTGCCCGGGTGCTCGGGGGTGCCCAATAGCCCAATAGCCCAGTAGCCTTATAGCCCTATAGCCCTATAGCCCTGTAGCCGTATAGCCCTATAGCCCTGTAGCCCTATAGCCTCATATCCCTATAGCCCTAATAGCCTTATATCCCTATAGCCCCATAGCCCATATGGCTCTATGGCTCTATAGCCCCATAGCCCTGTAGCCCTATGGCCCTATAGGTCACAGTCCTATAGCCCTATAGCCCGACAGCCCTATAGCCCTATAGCCCGATAGCCCTATAGCCCTATAGCCCGATAGCCCTATAGCCCTATAGCCCTATAGCCTGCCCTAGAGCCCGATTGCAAAGGGAGCGATTGGAATATTAAAACAATATGTTTGGTTTTTTTCTCCGGTATCCTGGCAAATCCCATGTGTTTTTGGACCCTGACACCGCCGATCTGCGTGAGGGGTGCCACCGAATTTCAGAAATGTGGCGAATCCCATGTTTTCTCTGTGTTTTTGGACCCTGACCTCGCCGATCTGCGTGAGGGGTGCCACCGAATTTCAGACATGTGGCAAGTCCCATGTGTTTTTGGACCCTGACCCCGCCGATCTGCGTGAGGGGATGTCAATTTTTACCCACCCCAGCAACTCAGATAATACGATTAGGGCATGGTAGAAATGCCAGTTTTGGGCCTCCCCCCCTCGCGCGGTCCATCAACAAGGAATAGTAAGCAGCAAGAAGCAGAACTGTAACAGTGGAAACTGGAAGCTGCAACTGGTACAGGAAACTGCGAACCTCCGGCCTACAGCCTGGTGGCCCCACAAGGGGGCCGGCGGATTCTCCGTCTCATGTGTCTTTTTCCTCCAACCTCGCCCTCCTTGCCTTCTCCTTCTCTTCCTCGCCATCTCCGACTCCTCCCTCCCGCCCTCCACTTCGCTCACCCCCATTCCCTCTACAGGAGTATTACCTGGGGACCTGTCGAGACGCGACCAGAGAGACGCTCCACTTCCGGATCCTCGCTTTGCGGGAGGAGCGCAACAAGTCCCGCCCTCAAGCCGTTCGGTCAAGAGTGGCTCAGGAGGAGGAGTCGCAGGCGCGCTAGGAGGATCCAGATGGGGAGGACGATGAGGGTTGAAGGGGGAGGGCATGGAAGGAGTCAGTCGGGTGAGAAGGAAGCAGGGGGGATGATATCAAGACATTGACCGCGATTGTGATGGTATGGTGATGGTGGTGATGATGACGATGATGGTGGCGGTGGTGTTGGTGGTGATAGTGATGGTGGTGGCGATGATGCAGATGATGGTGCGGATGATGTGGATCACACAGACATCTACCAAGCTGTTTCTCGATGACGCCGAATGCGACGACTGTAACGAGGGCGCCGCAGCCGGTTGCGGTTGCGAGGGCGAATAACATGTGGACGACGACGATGACAACGACTAAGACGATGGTGATGGTGATGATGGTGATGGTGTTGCTGATTATGATGATTATGATGATTATGCTGATGCTGATGATGATGACGTCGATGATGATGATGATGATGATGATGATGATGATGATGATGATGATGATGATGATGATGATGATGATGATGAATGATACTGATGATTACGAGGAAGATGAACATGACGATGATGATAATGACGACGATGACGAATCTGTTGGTGGCGGTGATGGTAATCGTGAGGACGACTAGAGGGGTGACGATGAGGATGAATATGCACATTTTGATGGTGAGAACGAATTGCTAGTGATACCGAACTGCACGATAGTGTTGAGGACACCAGAGGTACATCTAATGCGAATGGGCTCGCTTATTTTGATACTTGTGATGTTGATGCTGATACCGAGGATGCTGTTGAGGATGATGCTGATGATGAAGAAGGTGATAACGATGCTGATGATGAGATGATGATGACGATGATGAGGATGATGTTGATGATGATGCTGATGCTGATGCTGCTACTGATGCTGATGCTGATGCTGATGCTGCTGATGGTGATGTCGATGCTGATGATGATGACGAGTGTTCAGGTGATGATGCTGATTTTGATGGTGATACTGCCTTTTATGATGTTGTTGCTGCTGTTGCTTCTGCTGATGTGGAATCCCCATATAAAAATAATATGGTGGACCCCCTGGTGCAAAAAGTGTTTTCTGTAATTCAAGTAATCCTGAGGCTTGTTCCCTGTTTTGATAGGGGAAGTTCATCCTCCTCAAACTGCATTGTAGCCCCGGGAATACAACAACGGCTTCCGCCTTTTTTTGTCACAAGCTATTTCAAACTCGCGCTCTCGCGCTTGATTTTCTCAGAAGTTGCGCACGAATCGCGCTCTTTCTGTCTACTTTGCCGCACTGTATTCTCTCGCCGTTCTTCCAACACTTGTCCAAGGCGCCTTGCGGCAAGCTTTGACAGTATGTGTATGAATAATCAGTAATTGTGCAAGGGTGGGGGCATGAACAGGTCGGCGCCAAGGCGAGGACACTCCTCTGAACGACCAGAGACGTTCCCATTGGAAGAGCATCGATGGAGTAACAGCTGTCAAGCCACCAGGAGGTAACGGGATGGTTGCAGGACGTCCTCGGGGGAGAGGGGAGAGCAGGCATCTTTTTTGGTAGAGCCGAAGGGAGAGAGGAGCGAAGAGCCTCTGGAGTGTCTGCTCGGCCACGGAGTGACATGCTGATGACTAGCACCCCCGCTTGACCTCGCGGGCGCTTCTCTGGTCACGCTCAGCCTGGCTGAGAGCTTTGGGCCAGAGTCCCGAGGAAATTCGCCCTATGTATTCGCACCCCGTGGAGCTCGGAGTTCCCGAGCAAGTTTCGGAGAGCTCCCCGAATTGTGGGGACAAATGTATCCCAAACTGGGCGCACACAACAAGCTTAGCCCAGAGTGGACTGTTACACTGCCGGGTCAAATGTGCCCACCCCCCTGCGACGCGAACCTGCTTTCCGAGGGGGGGTATGGAGTCTCATATGTCTTTCTATCTACGCTGACAAGTTTTGCATACTTTGGTCTGGATCCACTTATTCTGCGGAACCTTGCCAGCAGCGCTCTAACGTCCAGTGCACGTATGTACGTACGGAGTCATCCAACACATGAGATGCAAAATCACGTAGCGCAGATGGACGGGGCAGGGGGCCTCCGGGGCGCCTTCTTGTCTCGATTCCCGCGGGGTCCACCTGGGGTATGGTGCTTATCGATGCCAATGTATGCCTAATGCTCAGTCAGGGCGTGCTGCTGGCGTATGTGTCGTGCTAGCCTGTGGCTCTCAGCCTCAGCGGCTGCGCCAGCTGGCTCGTCGGCGGCGCTGCCTCAGTCGAGCGAGCGCTGGATGCGGCCTGTCAGCATGTCCTTGGCCTCCACAGGAGAGGCGGTCCACACCACCACGACCACGAGGCCCGCTGCGTGGGGTGAGGAGAGTGCCCACCTGCTGCAACAGCTCGGCGTCGGGCCCGCCGGGCTGGCCGAGGTTCCCGTTTGTAGAATTTACCCTGGATGCGATGATGAAGATGCTGTCCCCTTCGGCTTCTACCAGGGCAAGCTTCCCCTCCCCGCGGCCGCGGCGCGGCCGCCCGCTCCGTCCTTCCTCCCCCTCCTCTTGCATGCTGGCCAATTCGCTACAAGGGTGCCCCCGTTTAGTTAGCTTCTTCCGCCAGTGCAGACGGCCCCTGCCTGGCCTAGCCGCCGACGCAAAGAGTTTACTAGGGTAAGCCGGATGGGGTACCAGCTTGCCTTTGGTGGCTGTCTGGCGGTGTCCCCATGCTGCGGATTTCAGCTCCATCCCGTGAGGACAGGTCGCGAACGGCTGTGATGGCCACGTCGACTTGCCCTCGCGCCCTCAAAGACGTCGACGAGATCGCCGCCGCAGCTGGTCCCAAAGTACCGCGCCCCGAACTCGTCGGCGCCGTGGATGCTCCAGTCCAGTTGGAGTTGCTCGCGGGGGCGGGTAGCTCCGTCAACGCTTCGCGCAGCAAGCCGCAGGACCAGACGCACGCGGTACATGCACGGCTTCGTCGTATTGTCGCTCACGGCGTTCTGATGGCGTCGTCGATGGGGCCTGGGCCATGCCCTGCGCAGGCCAAGATGCTGTAGTGCGGGCGTGGTGTCTTGCTGCGCACGCGCCCGCAGCCAGGTTGCCCCAGACGTCGTTGCGAACATGATGCCTAGAAGCAGATGGCTGGACGCGGCGGTAGGAGTAGTTGTCCATGCACTGCTCGCAGCCCGCTCCCTCATAGCGCTGAATGGCCTGGTGAAGAGGAGAGGGTGAGGAGGAGGACGAGGAGGATGAGGAGGTGAAGGAGGAGGTGGAGGAGGCACAGGAGAAAGAGTGGCGACGACGACGTTGATGATGCTGATGATGCTGATGATGATGGTGATGATGGTGATGTTGCTGATGATGATGACGATGCTGCTGCTGCTGATCACGATGACGATGAAGCTGAGGATGACGACACCTGTGACGATGATGATGGCGATGACGAGGACGACGATGATGATGTTGATGCTGACGTTGATGATTCTGATGATGCTGCTGATGATGCTGCTGATGATGATCATGATTATGTTGCAGATGATGATTGTGATATCGATGCTGCTGCTGATGATGTTGCTACTGCTTACCATGCTGTTGTTGTGTTGACGGTGCTCTCGATGCTGATGCTGCTGCTGATGGTTTTGCTGCTGTTGCTGCTGATGATCATGTTGATTATGCTGCTGTTGTTGATGCTGACTTTTAGTATGATGCTGCTGACGATGACGACCATTATTCTGTCACTGATGATGCTGGCTATGGAGGCGATGATGATGATGCTGCTGATGATGATGATGATGATGGTGATGATGATGTTGCTACTGCTTACCATGCTGTTGTTGTGTTGATGATGCTCTCGATGCTGATGCTGCTGCTGATGATTTTGCTGCTGTTGCTGCTGATGATCATGTTGATTATGCTGCTGCTGATGATGTTGACTTTTAGTATGATGCTGCTGACGATGACGACCATTCTTTTGTCAATGCTGATGCTGATTCTGGAGGCGATGATGATGATGAGGATGATGATGATGATGATGATGATGATGATGATTGTGATGATGGTGGTGATGATGATGCTGATGATGATGATGATGCTAATGATGATGATGCTGATGCTGATGATGATGATGATGATGATGATGATGATGATGATGATGATGATGATGATGATGATGATGATGCTGATCATGATGGTGGTGATGGTGCTGGTGATGGTGATGGCGATGAGGAGCAGGCGGAGGCGGAGGCGGAGGTGGAGCAGGCGGAGGCGGAGGCGGAGGCGGAGGTGGAGGGAGGAACAATAGCGGAGGAGGAGGAGGAGGAAAAGAGGAGGAGGAGTCTCTGGAGTCTCTGTCTGATCGCGTAGCGATATACTCTGCTCGGGACCGCACGGCGCGGTGCCACCTTCCACTCAGAAGGCCTTCGACAGCAGGGAGTGGTTCAACGCGTCGACGCTGAGGAAATGGCGGCACCGAGAGCTGAGAGAAGGTCTCCAACCTCACTGCCGCCGTCCTGCTTCGTCGGTCTTCAATTTCCATCCGTAACGTTGAGTACATCCGACTCCAACCTGTGTGTGGATCCATCTCCCATTATTGCCTTGTGGTGCGGTCGCAAGGTGTGCAACACGTCGCGCGAAAGTCTGGAATTTCTATCTCATGGCTCGTGTGATGCATTTATCTCCAAACTCCTTCAGTTCTGCAGCTCGCTCGCGGCGAAACGCTTCCACGTCAGACTCGGTGATGTTTCCAATTCTGTAGCTGACGACGTCAGGCTCGACCTTCGCACCGCGCGTCGGATCCCCGTCGTTGTAGCTAATGGCATTGGTCTCGTGCTTCGTCTCCGCCACTGCCGCCATCCAAGACTTCTCGCATGCACCGTACTCGGGTTCTGTAGCTGATGATGTCGGGCTCGATCTTCTCGTCATGCGACACAGCCTCGTCGTTGTAGCTGATGGCATTGGGCTCGTGCTTCGTCACTTGCCACTGCCGACATCCAAGACTTCTCGCATGCACCGTCCTCGGGTCCGTAGCTGATGACGTGGGGCTCGACCTTCCCGTCACGCGACACAGCCTCGTCGTTGTAGCTGATGACGTTGGATTCGTGCTTCGTCTCCGCCACTGACTTCATCCAAGTCTTCTCGCATGCACCGTCGTTGTAGCTGATGGCATCGGGTTGGTGCTTCGTCTCCGTCATTGTCACCATCCAAGACTTCTCGCATGCACCGTCCTCGGGTCTGTAGCTGATGACAGCGGGCTCGACCTTGGCGTCACGCGACGCAATCCCCGTCGTTGTAGCTGATGGCATTGGGCTCGTGCTTCGTCTCCGTCACTGCCGCCATCCCAGACTTCACGCATGTGTCGTCCACGGGTCTGTAGCTGACGACGTCGGAGTGGGCGTCAGCTAACACAGTCTCGTCGTTGTAGCTGATGGCATCGGGCTCGTGCTTCGTCACTGCCGCGGCCGCCATTCCAGACTTCTCGCATGTGTCGTCCACGGTTCTGTGGCTGTGGACGTCGGGATCGACCTTCGCATCGTGCGACACAGTCCCGTCGTTGTAGCTGATGGCATTTGGCTCGTGCTTCGCCTCCGGCTCTGCTCGCTGCTGCCGCTGCCATTCTGACCCCCACGTTCCTGCCGTGTCCTGCGGAGGCTCCCTTTGTCCATATTGCTCCCACTCGCTGCTCCCAACGCTGTAGCTGACGACGTTTGGGTCCATATGCTGCATCTTGCGGAGCTGCTCCACCTCGCGGGTGAGGCGGTGGATGCCTCGCTCAGCCGACCACTGTGCCCATGCCTGCCGGGCTTTGCGCTCCTTCGGGGTGAGCCTTGGGCGCCACTTTCCGGCACCCATCCCGTAGCACCGCTTGAAGCTCTAGTGTTTGTTAACGTCAAAGGCGGTCGAACATCCGACAGTTGCGACGAGATACCCCAAGCACCGCGCAGAGGTCCTTGAGCCAAAATGGCTTGAGCCAAAATGGCTACGGACGAGGAGGAGGGGGAGGAGGAGGACACGGTGCATGAGGAGCAGCACGAGAGAGGAGAGGGGTAAGAAGGGGGGTGGCAGCCCTCTGAGGTCACGACACTATCTGGTGAAGATCCCCTATCTCTTCACACCCCTCCCTCCCACCCCTCCTCCCCTCCTCCCCTCCTCCATCTCCCCTCCTCCCTCCCTCCCTCCCTTTCTCCTTTCTGGGGCCGAGGCCCTATCCGGTGGAGATCCTCAACATCATCGTGCTCCCCGCACTCACCGTAGTCAACGCCTCTCCCGCGGTGTTGGGGGTGGACTCGTGGAACCTCGACCAGAAGGACATGCGGAAGGCTCTCGGGGCCCAGCCTCGTCTTCCTTGTTCTTTCTCGAGCCTTCTGGCGCCTCCTCTTCCTCCTTCTCTTCCCCCATCTCCTCTTCATCCTCCTTCTCCTCCCCCCTCCTCCATCCTCCCTCCTCCCTCCTTCCTCCTCCTCCATTCCTTTTCCTTGTGACTAATTCCTCCTTGTCTTACCCCGAGACCAGTTGGAAGGGCGGGCCGGGCGTTTCGCCTGAGTCCCCCTTACTGTTTCTGAGCCCGAAATTTCGACACAGGAAGTCTGTTTACATCTGGAGGGCGGGTTGTTTTCAACATGTGGCTCTTGCGCGCCGCGCACATTCGTTCAACAACGGTACAAGAGTTTGACGGATTGAGGGCGGGCCGTTTTCAATTTGTGGTTCTCGCGTTAGCGCCGCGCACAGCCGTTTTTCATACATGTACATGTGTATATATATATATATATATATATATATATATTCAGATTGCGAGATATTCGCGGATTGAGTGCGGGCCGTTTTCAATTCTCGCTTCAGCGCCGCGTACATTCGCTTGCAACATTTTGCTATATTTTCGCGGGTTGGGGGAGGGGGCTTGTCAATATGTGATTCTCGCCTTAGCGCCGCGCCCGCGCACGTTCGCTCCTAGCATGTTGCAAGAGTTTTGCGGATTGAGGGCGGGCCGTTTTCAAAATGTGGTTCTCGTTGCAGCGCCGCGCACATTCATTGTACATTTCTGCAAGGGTTTCACGGATTGAGGGCGGGTTCTTTCCAACATGTGGTTCTCGCTTCAGCGATGCGTGCATCTGTTTTAACGAAATGCATCGTTTTTTGCGGACTCTCATGGCTAATTTTCCGGACATGGTGCTTTCGAGCGATTTATGAGTGTCAGGCCGCTACAGTTACGTTGATTCGCGGTGTGGGGTTCCCATGAATGGTGTTCTGGCACGATTCAGGGCCGCCAAAACGCAACAGTCAGGTTTACTCGTGGCGTTGAAGTCCTGACAATGGTCTTTTGGCACGTTTCATGTTTTTTACACGGTTGTCTCCATCGGGGCAGTTCCTTCAGTGAGAGTGAATTTTTGTATGGGCCTATGAAGAGGGAGTTTGTAGTGAGAGTGTATCCAAACATCGTTGATGAGTTTTGGGTTGCGCTGGCCCTCCCCCTCCTCCTCCCTGCTGCTTCTCCTCCCCCTCCTTCTCCTCCCCCTCCTCTCCTATCTCCTTCACCTCCTCCTCCTCCTCCACCTCCTCTCCATCCTCCTCCACCTCCTCCTCCTCATCCTCCCCCCCTCCTTGTCCTCCTCTCTTGCTCCTCCTCCTCGTGCTGGAAGAGGGGAGGATGGTGGAAGGAGGAGGACCCGCGCTCGGGTTTCGGAACGAGCTCGACTTAGGAACCAACGACTTGAGCGAGCGCCTGTGCCTCGCCAGACCCACTTGTTCGACTGGGATCGTGATCCTGAGTTTCGCCCGGGCCCCGAGAGGAGGACTTCGTGTGCAGTCCAGCCAGGCCCGGGCCTGCCAGACTGAGGCGGAGCGCCACGCGGCGCTGGCCCCCCCCGTGTTTCTCTCCCTGCGCCCTTTTCCCCCTCACTCTTCCCCCCCTCCTCCTTTCCTTCCTCTCCTTTCCTTTCCTTCCTCATCTCTCCTTCCCCCCTTCACTTCCTCCTCCTCCTCCTCCTCGTCCTCCTCCTCTTCCTCAACCTCCCCCTCCTTCCCTTCCTCCCACTCCTCCTCCGCTCTCTCCTTCGCCTCCACCTCCTCCTCCTCCTCCTCCTCCCTCCCCCCATTACCCCCTCTCCTCTCCACCCTTCACAATTACTCAATATGAAAATACTCTCCCTCTACCCCTGATGGCGTCCGGGTGATGGCCGCGCATTCTCCGCGTACTGTTTTTTTACACACAGGATGCCCGGGAAATCCCGGGAAACGACTCTCGCTGAGGTGCCGGCGTCATTTTCGGGCCGAACGCCCCCCGCGTATTGTTTTTTTACACACAGGATTCCCGGGAAACGGGTTTTCGCTTGCGTTTTTTTCTCAAATGATGCTCTCGCTGAGGCGCCGGCCTCATTTCAATTCTGCTCCCGAATCGTTCCGAATCGTGCTCCCGCTGCAGCGTGGGCCTCATTTTCGGATCGGTGTTTGGCCTCCGTCGTTCAGGATGGCGTTCTCGCCCCAGCGCGGGCCTCTTTCTCGCGCGCCCATCCGCCCGCCACCACCGCGCCGCACCACCATCACCACCACCACCACCACCGCCACCACCACCACCACCACCACCACCACCACCACCACCACCACCACCACCATCACAACCACCACCAGCACCACCACGAGCACGAGCACCAGCACCAGCACCACCACCACCACCACAACCACCACCACCACCACCACCACCACCACCACCACCACCACCACCACCACCACCACCACCACCACCACCACCACTACAACCACGCACACACGCACGCACGCACGCACGCACGTGCACCACCATCCACTACGCACGCGCGCGGAGCCACAGGTCCACTACGACACGCGTCCGCGGATAGAGAAAATCAGCGCCATGGTAAGGGATGGGAGGGAGGGGTAGGACGTTAGATATGACGCGAGCGCACCTAGCTTGTCCTTTTCCCCTCCTTCCCCTCTTCCCGCTCCTACCCCTCCTCTCCGCCGCAGGGTTTCTTCTTCCGCTGGTTCACAAAGAGGTGCAGTCCAGCCGCCAGCAAATCTGGCGGGGATCGAGCGAAGCTAGTCTTGAATTCACTGGTGGACGTCGATGTCGTCGTCGGGTATGCGCAGGCATCCGTTGCTGATTTCTTTCGCCAGTTTGTGGGTCCCTACTTTGATCCCCTCTGAGGTTGCTAAGGTGGTACGACAATTAGAAGTGGATGCTAAGGTGGTTTATATCTGCATGAGTGGGTTACACATGCCACAAGCGGCTTGAGGGGGTATCGATCCAGGCACTGGGCTCCGCCTACTACATGATATTCAATGAAATTATCCTCCCCCCTCAGCCGCTTATGGCACTTGTAACCCACTTCTAAACCAGGCAAGGCCAGGTATGACCCCCTCAGCATCCCGCCCTATCCCCCTTACCAACCCCGGTGGTGATCTCAGTAGGAGCCCCGATCCTTTCCGCGGGGGCAGCTTTTCGTGCTGAGTCGTGGCTAGATGAGGCGTTCCAAAAAGGGCAAGGGCCGTGCCTTCGAGGATCGAAGGAGTTGTCATCTCTTCCTCGGCGGAAGGCGGCGGAAGGTCGGCGGAAGTAACACGAGGCCGCCTCCGCCGGCTGAAGCCGGCGGAAGCTCGACGGAAGGCAGCGGACGTAAAAGATGTGACAACGTTTTTTGGTCCAGGGTTTCCAAAATCGCCCAGATTGCCCCCGAGCCCGAGAGCGGATTGCCCCCGAGCCCGAGAGCGGGCGGCCCCAGAGGCCGAGAGTGGGCCGGGAGCAGCCTTTGCCTTGGTTTGCTACGGATGCCGGGCGTGTGCGGGGGGCACACCTGTTTTGGCGCGCACCTCCCCTTCTCGGGTGCTGCCCAAGGAGATGTTTAAAACCCTCAGGGCCATCACGCGCGTTGTGCCCTCTACCCTCCCCCCCTCCTCCTGCTGCCCCTCCTCCTCCTCCTCCTCCTCCTCTTCCTGCCCCCCCTCCTCCTCCCCCTCCTTTTCCTTTTCCTTTTCCTCCTCCTCCTCCCCCTCCCCGCCCACCCCCGCCATAACGTAATGCTCCCCCCCCTCAGTGCGTCCCCAGCATTGCCGCAGTGCGTCTGGCACCCTGGGTGGGAGAAGGGGGGGGCTTTACGTTATGCCCCCCCCCCCCCCCCCCCCCCCTTTCCCCCCCCCCCCCAACACCCCTCCCTCCCTTGCCCCCCCCTCCCTTCCCCCCCTTCCTTCCCCTCCCTTCCCCCCCCCCCTCCCCCGCCCTCGCCCCCCTCCCCCACCCAACGCCCATTGTGGACGCGAACCAAACAATACGCTCGAGGGTGTCCCTGGGCCCAGGTGTCCCCAGGATTTCTGGGCAGGCTCAGAGGGAGGGCCCCCCCCTTCGCGAGGCCCTGAGGCAGGCTTCCGCGAGCTCCAACATGGCGCGAAGGGCTGGTCAGGGGCAACGATATGGGGGGCAGGCATGGGGGGGGATGCATCGACCCCCAATCGCCCATCGATCGCCAACAGGGGTCTGATTGCCCAACCCGCCCAAGAAGGTGCGGATTCACTATCGGGGGCGTATCCCCAATCTATCGGCGATGTATCGCCGATTTCAGGTCGATGCTTCCCCTTCTATGCCAGTCCCCTCCCATTTTTGCCCCCCCAGCTGGGGACATCTTGGGGCTTTTTGGGCAACCCCCGGCCCCCCCCCCCTCGCCGCTGCCCAGGCGGCCAAGACGCCCATGCCTCGCCCTCAGCCAGCGCCTCGCCGCCGATGCCCTCATCGTCGTCCGTCGTCCGTCGTCCGAATTCCGTCGTCCGTCGTTCGTCGTCCGTTGTCCGTCGTCCGTCGTCCGTTGTCGTCGTCGTCGTCGTCGTCGTCGTCGTCGTCGTCGTCGTAGTCTCCCTCGTCGTCCTCGTCGTCTGTCGTCGTCGTCGTCGTCTGCGCCGTCGTCCGTCCGTCGTCCTTCCGTCGTCCGTCGTCCGCCGTCGTCGTCCTTCGTCGTCGGCGTGCTCTTCGCACGCTCGCTGCCCGCGGGTTGGCAAGAGGATAATGCTTTGCGTTGAGCATGCTTTTATCTAGATTATGTGAAGCTTACTTGTATATCATTTCCCCCCCTTTCCCCCACGACACGACCCTCCCCTCCGCCGCCGCTGCCGCCGCCACCGTCGTCGTCGTCGTCGTCGTCGTCGGCGTCGTCGGCGTCGTCGTCGTCGTCGTCGTGGTCGTCGTCGTCGTCGTCGTCATCGTCGTGGTCGTCGTCGTCGTCGTCGTGGTCATCGTCATCGTCATCGTCGTCGTCGTCGTCGTCGTCGATGTGTGTTGGGCCGTTTCGGGCCTCCAGGGATGCCTCTCGTCGCCACGGCTGGATCCGCTTCGAAATCCAGGCCAGGACGCGCGCCAGGACGGGTCCGGGGGTCGATCTCGAGGGAGGGACGCCCGAACCGCTCGCGCGCCGGTCCGTTTCACTGGTTGGGCCACATGGAGAGGCCCGTCTTTGGCTCCCAGGAAATCGGGAAGCGAGCCGTCGCGAAAGCAACGGGTCCCGGGGAAGTCAGGGGGGGCAATGGAGGAGGCGAAGGAGGAGGAGGAGGAGGAGGAGGAGGAGGAGGAGGAGGAGGAGGATGGAGGAGGAGGAGGAGGAGGAGAGAGGGAGGAGGAGGAGGAGGAGGAGGAGGAGGAGGAGGAGGAGGAGGAGGAGGAGGCGGCGGAGGCGGAGGCGGAGGCGGAGGCGGAGGCGGAGGCGGAGGCGGAGGCGGAGGCGGAGGCGGAGGCGGGGACGCGCGCGGTGTGTCGTCGTCTGCGGTGGTCTGCTGCTTGCTGGGCTTCTTGCATGGAGCCAGTCTATGGACTCTGGGGGGTCACAAAACAGTGCCCTGCCCCGTGTCGTTTCGTGGAAGCTGGCCCTCTGGCGTTCGGCTCCTTCCATGCTGCTGAACATCCGACGAAGCAGCTTCGTTGCAATCAGACGACAAGCACCTCAACTTCCCAGAAGTGTGAGCCCCGCACGGCGTGCCCGAGGTAGAAAGGCCGCCGCGTCAACCCAGAAGGGAAGCGTTCACTGGCCTGTGCCCCCCAGGCTCAGGAGCTACGTCGGCAAGGCATTGCTGTGCCCTGGGCAGGCCCGTCGGCTCTTGCGAGCCTTCGTGCTGTCCTTGCGGGCCCAGGCCAGGCGTCGGGCGCGCACGCATATCCCGTCTGAAGAAAAGCTCATATCCCCCCTCCTCCTGGGTCCTGGGGTGGGTGACGACGACGGCGACCACGAGGCTCCGACGGAGGAGGAGGAGGAGGAGGAGCAGGAGGAGGAGGAGGATGAGGAGGTGGAGAAAAGGTGGAGGAAGGGCGGCTGCTGACGGGTGACCAGACCCTCGACCAGCTGCGCGACGATGGCTCGAGTAGCCTGCACGCCTCTGTGAATCTTTACATTCGGCCTTGGACCCATCTTAGACTTGTGTTTGCTGGTGTGTGTGTGTGTGTGACTGTGTGTGGTATTCGCTGGCACTGCACATGTCCACCGCCTTCTGTGTGCCTTGCTGAGGCAACCGGTACACAGCGTCGGTTCTCTGGCGCGGGTGGCACTCGCCTTTGTGTGTTCCTCCTCTTTTTCTCCCTCGATGTCGGTCGGCCGCGTTGCAGTACTGCTCGTTTCCGTCATCGGGCGGCGTCACAGTTCTTTTGGTCGCCACCCCCGCCAGGGTGGTCAATGGGAGGTTGATCCAACGGGGTCCTGCGTCTGAGTGCCCAGCCGCGCGCGCTAGTTCCGTGCCGCTTGCTCGACTTGCTCCGCCTCGTCGCTGTGCGCGAGGCCGCGATCGCCGAAAAGTGTGTGTGCGCGCGTGTGTGTGTGTGTGTGTGTCCTAGGAGGGCCTAGTGGCTAAGACATTCCCGCTCCAGGCCACCCTCGCGGTCATCGAGAGCACCGTGTCCACTTGTCAGCCTTGGCGGTCCACGAGTGCGCCGTGTGTGCACTCTACGTCGACGTGATCGGATCCGGCATCGGCCTCACCGACGACCCGACTAAACAGGCAAGCGGCGTCACCTGGATAGATGGAGGATACTCATACACGCGCCTGCACCTGGACGCACCCGCCCCGCTCGGGCCACGCCCTGGAGTGACGCTAAGGCCCCCATGGTTAGACAGCCGAGACACCAGGCGGAGGAACGACTTCTACTGCCAAGGGTGCCTGCGCGGCCCCGTCAAGCACGATAAAGGCGCCTACGTCAGCGAACGGAGTCGCCAAACCATTAGCGTCAACAGGCTGACGGAGTACTACCAGGGGAAGAACCTGACCTGGCTTTGCATATGCTGCTGGACTACGAAGGCAATGGCCGCACGGCAGCCCATTCCAGACGGCGTGGACTTCAAGAGCTGGATCAACGACCGCCCCGACGACATGCCTGTCCGAGCAACGCGTGCCCGTCCAGGGTTGTGTCCGACGTCCGCACCCACGGCCCTAACGCCCCTGGACCAGCTACTGGCCCCACTGGAAGGCGACCTGAACCCTTCAGTATGGGAACCACCCTCCCAGCCAGCATCACGAACGACGACCGCCTGATCTCCCATTTCTACAAGGAGAATGTCGGCATCTGGCGATGTGATGGCTGCCCCTCTGGCACGGAGGGACACAGGTGGGGACCAGGGCAAGCTTACCCTGGCATGTATGGGCACGCCGCGGATCCAGAAGGACTCCGCGACGGCTTCAACGTGGTCCACGGGCTGCCACCCGTACAGCTGATGAGGGAGATGTTCCTGTCCAAGCGCTGGCATGCGGGCTGGTACTGCAAGGAATGCCTGATCCACCAACGGGACACGGCACCGTCAGCAGTGAACCGGGTACTACAGATACGGCCCCGACGTATGCCCGAAAGCAGGAGCCAGACCTTTCCCCGCACTACCGGGCATCCCCGCCTCATCGTCAGAAGGCGCAGCACGCCCCAACCAAGAGCAGGTGCTGCGACGCGCGGCCGCCTGGGACGAGGCAGAGCGCAGCTACCGCGACCGCCTCCCCACTGCGCTGCCACCCCTCGTCCGGGATCCCGACGCCGCGGCTTCCGCCCAGCCGCTCACAGGGCGCGCGACCGCCAGCGGGGCCCAGCAGCACGCCACCCCCCGAGCGGGCGGGCGTCCCGAGCTGACACCCCGCCCGGCCCAGTCAACAGGACCCACCAAGGAAAGGTGCCTGACGCCCTGCCCGACGCCCATCCCGCCCACTCACAGTGGCGATTCACCCCTTCCCCATTCATTCCCGCCCACCTCGCGTGGCGACGAGCCGACCCCAGCCCAGCCTGCCACACTACCCACAGCTGCCAAGTCCGTCGCGGCGCCACCAGCCGTCGGCGCGACACCTGCACCCCCCGGAAGGTGTGCAGAACACGGCAGCCGTGAAAGGCAGCAATGGCGAGTCCCGGACACGCCCATCGCGGGCTCCCTGTGCCCGCCTGCAACGGACAACCCGGGCATCCAGTGCGGCGACTACGTGGTCATCAGGAGTGATGCCTTCCCCCGCGCCAGGTGGTTCAGCGCTGCGGACTGCGCCGAGCCCGTATCAACGCAGCCCCAGCCCCTGGATGGGGCAGTATTCGGACCCGTCCTCAGTGTCTTGGCCCGCGAATAGGACGGGCGGGCTCAACTCGTCCAGATCGGCAGCGAGTGGCTGGAAGTATGGGGCGTCGGTGACAGGACGCTACGCGTAAACGTCCTCCGCGGAGACGCAGCGCTCCGGGCAGCAACCTTTCTGGACAGTGCCCGCGGCAAGGTGCACGGGGCGCAGGCGCCGGCACTCCGCGACAGTCCCATGCTCGGCATCGATGCCGGGGGAGAAATCGACGTCCGCAGGGGGAATGCAGGGCGGACCCAAGCTCGAGCCCTACCCGCCGCAGGCAGACGCGGAGGATCCCACCATCGAAACTGCGCCCTTCATGCACCCTAAGGAGGAGAACCCCGACTGGACCAATGACGACCAGGCACGAGGGCAGAAGTTGCGCCTCGCCGAGGCCCTAAGCGCAGTCCATCCGGTCTCCTCATCCTCAGACTCGGGCGCAGTCGAGGAGCGCCAAGCCAAGACGAGTCCTCGGAACGAGCGACGCAGCAGCCCCGAGCACGACCCATGCAGCACCGACCAGAGGGCCGCCCACGCACCCGCGGAGCCGATCGCGCGCCCAGAGGCCGAGGCCGACGATCGGAAACTGCGCGCGCGGAACCGGTCCAATGGCCCGGAGGACCCGCGACCTGAATTGACCCCCCTCCCTGCGCGCCAGCTCGAGCGCTTGCGCAGCAGGGTGCGGGGGCCAGTCGCCTGGGAGTCGTGCGCGACGGCGGTGAGGCGCGAATCCAGAGAGGCCGACCGGGCCCGCGCAGTTGAGCGCGACCGCGACCGCGACCGCGACCGCAACCAGTGCGCAGCGGGGGCGCCGTGGCGCAAACACGACGCCAGAGGCTGGGGCAGAACCAGGGGGCGCTACTGGGAGCAGAACCACGACGCTGGCAGGGGCGCAGGGGGCGCGCCCTGGCGCCTGCCAGAATTGTGCAACTCTTACCACGGGGAGGATCGCCGCCATGCCGACGCCAGCCGGGCGCGGGCGACCTTCCGCGCTGGCTGGCAGCGCCCCCCGCGCGACAGCAGTCACACACCTGAAGAGGCTGCGGGCGGGAGGGGGGTACCACTTCAACGCAGCCTGGCATTCGTGGCACAGGCACATGTGCAAGGAGCAGGGCAAAGGCAAATCCAAAGACCAGGCCCGCTTCGACCCGGGCCGCTGGCAACGTCGGATCGTCGACAAATTCCCGGTTGACATGAGCACCCACAACCATCGCGTGGAGGTGTGGCCCCGCAGCGCAGGCGTCTGCGTGGACTGGGATCGGGAGCAGAGGCCGCGCCAGGACGCGCAGAGGAAAAAGGGGGGTCGCCAAGGGTGACGGGCGCGAAAGGGACCAGGCGCGCAGCTCCGGGCACCATGACGCCCGGACTTGAAAGCGCCCGCGGCGCTGACCAGACGTCGACCCGACCCCCCTTGCCCTGCGGCAGCGCGACGCAACCATCCCCTCGCTCCCACCACTTGCGCCCCCGACCCCCGCCCCGTCTCTCTCGCCTGGCCAGGGGCCGCGTGTCCCCCCCTCCCCCCCGCCTGTGCCCCATCCCCAGTGGCGCCCGCGTTCCACGGTCTACGGCTACTTGCCATTCCACCTGGTCCCCGTCTTTTCCTCTTCCCCCCCTCCCCCTCTCCCGTCTTCAAGGATCTGGGACGTTGTGTCCCACCTGTGCCCATCGGGGGCCGGCCCCCCCGTGATCATCTGCGATGCGGACTGGGGCATCGAAGATTGGCGTGGCTCCCCTTGTCTTTTCCTGCAATGGGACCTTGTGTCCTGCCTGTGCCCATAGGGGCTTGTCTCCCACGTGAGCACCCACGGTGCAGGGTGACGCGACTTCGGCTGGCGCGGGGTGCCGGCTTCTCTCCCCCCTGTTCGCTTCGCCCCCCTCGCTCGCTTCCCCCCCCCTCCCATGGCGGTGGCGCCCGGCGCAGCGCGGCTTCGGCCAGGTGCTGGGCGCGGCACCTTGCCGCCTCGGCGGCCCCGCTCGCCATGGCGCTGCGCGGCTCAGGTCCTCGGCCACGCGAGCGTCAGCGCATCGTGTGTGGCACCCGCCCGTCTTCGCGCGCTGACTGTGCGGGCCAGGTTTCCTCCCTGCACTCCACCGACATCGAGTCGGACACGGGCGGCCCTGTCTCTGGCCGCACCTCTTGCTGGCTCTGGACGTGGATTGGACTACCGCCCCAGGCCGCTTTCGACCACCTGGTGGCGCAACGCTGCACATCGCCTTCGTGGTCCTCCTCTTTTCCTGGGCCCCCTCCTCACCACCCGGTGGCACAACGTTGCTCGTCGCCTTCATGGTGGACTTCTCCCCCCTGGACGTCGACCTGGTCGTGTACAACGTCCTCTTATGCAGCACTTGAGGATAGTGTTTACGGAGCGCTGTTGACGGCAACGCCACACCGCTCACCCTACGGATCTTCGCCTCCGGCTCCTGTCCGAGGCGTTCCTTTTCTCGTGCAAGCTCCTCGGCGCCGCCTGCACCCCGGCCCGCCCTCCGGCCGCCTGAGGCCCCGCCCGACTGTGCCCTGTCTCCCCAATTAGAGCTGTGCGTAGCCCGCCTAGCTTTCACCGGGAGAGGTTCGCTCTCGCCCCGCAAACCAAAAAGTGTGTGTGTGTGTGTGTGTGTGTAGAAGCTCAGGTCTGAAGCCCGACGCAGTTTAGATATTTCCGTCTGCCGAAATCGTATTCCCGCTTGCCGCTTTGGCCACCCGCCGATCTTAGGCTGTAGACTTCCAGGTTTATGTTTTCGCACTGATGTGGCCCGCGTGGTGAAGGCACAATTGTTTTCGCTGCGAGCGCGTAGCACCCCGGTGCACTTTTGGCGCCCGCGCGATCATCTTGTGTGCGCGTAAAGGGCGCGGGAGCAAGTGCCCATGCGTGCCATGTTACTCTTCAGCGGGTATTGGCCAGCCACTCCCTCCTCCACTTCATCCTCCTCCCTGCTTCTCCTTCCTCCTGACATGTCTGTCTGATTATTTCGCTTCTTCAGACACTGTTGAACCGCATCCCACTTTAAGCTTAGTTGCGGCCAAATTTTAACCCACTTGTAGCCAACTGTTTAGCCCATTTCTATTTTGTTTTTGGCCCATTTCTAGCCCACTTTCAGCCCGCTTTTGGCCCACTTTTAGCCAACTCCACTTTTAGTCCACTCGCAGCTACTTTTGGTCCACCGTTAGCCCGCGCGTGCCTGGTCGTTCAGTTGCGCGCCCCGGAAGCCCGCCGGGAATACAAAAATGACGAACGGGAATGCAGCCGTTGTGGCGAGATTACACGATCAACCGCAGAGCTGTAGACATTCTCGAGCGACCGGACATTGAAAAACGTCGACCAGGTTCAGGACTTAGCATGACGAGGACGCGACGGAGATTCGTCGGAGCATACGAGGATGCGGCGGAGATTCACCAGAGCATTCTAGCCCACTTGTGTCCCACTTCTAGCCCACTTCTGGCCCACTTTTAGCCCGGACGGGGAAGGCAAGGAGGAGGAGGAGGAGGAGGAGGAGGAGGCAGAGGATGAGGAGGGAGGAGGAGGAGGCGGGAAAACTGCACGCGACAATTCGTGGCAATCTAAACGGTCGCAGCCGGGGCGCGCGCTGCTTGCAAAAGGCACCAGCGCCCCCGGACTCACGCGGGGGAGCGCGGCGCGTATACAGGGCTGAGGGTGTCAGTGCAATGAAAAGGTGGCCAATTCGAGAATGCGCCCCAGATGGCTGGCGACACCTTTCTTCTCCTCAGGGGCGGCGGGTTTGGGCACGGCGCCACGGCGCCTCTGGCGGAAACGCCAAATCATCGTCTAGCTATTTCTGGCCTTTCCCCTGAGCCTATGCATGTGTGTGCGTGCGCGCGTGATTGTGCGTGTAGGCCGCATGGTAAAACGCCTCCTTACATGCGTCAGAACTATCGCCAGCTGTTTGAAAGCCAGCCAGGATCTGATGGCGATTCCTGCCGCTCGTTCTCCTCTCTGCCCTGGCGCTGGTGTGAACATCTAACTCTCGAAGCGGCTGAGACGTGGACACGCGCACACTCGATACGTCATGTCCTCACTGGGATACCCGCGTTGGGAGAAAGGCTATGTGATGAAGAGGAGGTAGGAGGAAGTGGATGAGGAGAAGGAGGAGGGGCAACTGGAGGGAGGAACATAAGCGATCTGGGATATCCAACAGCCCGCCACGCGCCGTTGGGCCCCCAAGGTTTGGCACGATGCGCTGGCTGAAGAGGCCATTAGCGCTGGGGCCTCCCTGGGGTGGATGAGGGAGGGAGGGAGTGGAGGGAAGAGGGTCAGGCAGGTCTATGATGAATGAGTGTTTCCGTAGCGTTTCATAACGTTCTAATGGCGTTCTGGACCGCTCTGAACCGTCCGCGGCTCTTGATGCATCCTCGGGAGCCGCCAACTCTCAGAACGCCGATTTCTCTTCACCGGGCAGTGCTTGCATCCTGCCTTCGTCTTAGACTCGGGAGGTAGAAAGTGAGGAAGAGGAACGATGATCATTCTTTGGGGCGATCCTGGTCTGTCTTGGGTCCCCACAGGCCTCCAGGGGAACGAAGAGGAGGAGGAGGAGGAGACGGAATAGGAGGAGTTGGAGGAGGACGAGGAGGAGGAGGAGGAGGAGGAGGAGGAGGAGGAAAAGGAGGAGGACGAGGAGGAGGAAATGGAGGAGGAGGAGGATGAGGACGAGGAGGAGGAGGAGAAGGAGGAGGAAGAGCAGGGATATTATTGTTAATATCCGTAAGGGCTTCGCCCCCTGCCGCCGGCCCCCTCTCTCGGAGAATGGGCCATGGAAGAGCTAAGTCATGAGGCTTTGGCGCTGTCGTGCAGCAGTATCGGAACTTCATGCGAGGCCGATTCGCAATCGGCAAAACCAACTGATCATAAGAGGGGTTACCACACAGGGCGATTGGTAAGACGTGTATGGTTTACGAGCTTGGTTACCATACCTTGGGATTAAAGGGCCGAGGGAGTACTCGCAGTTTGGGTTACCACGCCTTGCGATGGATGTGCGTGAGGGGTGGCACCGAATTTCAGAAATGTGGCAAATCCCCTGTGTTTTTGGACCCTGACCCCGCGGATCTGCGTGAGGGGTGGCACCGAATTTCAGAAATGTGGCAAATCCCATGTGTTTTTGGACCCTGACCCCGCGGATCTGCGTGAGGGGTGGCACCGAATTTCAGAAATGTGGCAAATCCCATGTGTTTTTGGACCCTGACCCCGCGGATCTGCGTGAGGGGTGGCACCGAATTTCAGAAATGTGGCAAATCCCATGTGTTTTTGGACCCTGACCCCGCGGATCTGCGAATCAGAAATGTGGCAAATCCCCTGTGTTTTTGGACCCTGACCCCGCGGATCTGCGTGAGGGGTGGCACCGACTTTCAGAAATGTGGCAAATCCCATGTGTTTTTGGACCCTGACCCCGCGGATCTGCGTGAGGGGTGTCGATTTCGAGCCCCCCCAGCAATTCAGACAACGCGCCCAGGTGAGGCTAAAAATCCTGTTTGGGCCTCCCCCCCCCTCGCGCGGTCAATCAACTAGTTACAGTAACCAGCAAGAAGTCAACTAGTTACAGTAACCAGCAAGAAGCAGAACTGTAACACTGGAAACTACAACCTACGACTGGTACAGGAAACTGCGAATCACGGGCCTACAGCCTGGTGGCCCCACAAGGGGGCCGGCGGATTTCCAAAGAGGAGGAGGAGGAGGAGGAGGAGGAGGAGGAGGAGGAGGAGGAGGAGGAGGAAGAGGAAGAGGAGGATCAGAAGAAGCAGGTAGGGAGGGAGGGAGGCAGAGGACGAGGATGAGGAGGAGGAGGGGGAGGAGGAAGAGTAGGACGAGGAGAAAAAGGAATGAGGAGGAGGAGGTGGGAAGAGTACGACCCAAACGCGACAATTCGGACCCACACACGAGAAGGATAGACACATTCACGACACGACATAGACCGCTTTCGCCTCCGAGTTTCGCCTCCCGCTTTCGCCTCCCGCTTTCGCCCCTCACTTCCGCCCCCCGTTTTCGCCCCCTGCTTTCGCCTCCCGCTTTTGCCTCCCGCTTTCCCTGTCCGCTTTCGCCTCTTGCTTTCGCTTCCCGCTTTCGCTTCTCGCTTTCGCCCCCCGCTTTCGCCTCCGGTTTCTCCTACCGCTTACGCTTCCCGCTTTCGCTTCTCGCTTTCGCCCTCCGCTTTCGCCACCCAGTTTCGCCTCCCGCTTTCGCCTCCCGCTTTCGCCTCCCGCTTTCGCCTCCCGCTTTCGCCTCCCCTTTTCGCCTCCCGCTTTCGCCTCCCGCCTTCGCCTCCCGCTTTCGTCCCCGCGTTCGCCTCCCGCTTTCGTCTCCCGCTTCAGCCTTTCGCTACACGCTTGCTCGCTTTGGCATTTGCCTTCGCCTCGCGCTTTCGCCCTCGCCTCCCGCTTTCACCGAACTCGGGAGACGACGGCGAAAGCGGGAGGCGAAGGCGAAAGCGGGGGGCGAAGGCGAAAGCGGGAGGTGAAAGTGGGAGGCGAAGGCGGGAGTCGAAAGCGGTAGGTGAAGGCAGGAGGCGAAAGCGGGAGGCGAAAGCGAAAGGCGAAGGCAAAAGCGAAAGCAGGCGAAGGCGGTAGGCAAGAGCGGGAGGCGAAAGCGGGAGGCGAAGGCGAAAGCGGGGGGCGAAGGCGAAAGCGGGAGGCGAAAGCGGGAGGCGAAAGTGGGAGGCGAAGGCGGGAGGCGAAGGCAAGAGGCAAAAGCAGGAGGCGAAAGCGAGAGGCAAAGGCAAAAGCGAAAGCAGGCGAAAGCGGTAGGCGAGAGCAGGAGGCGAACGTGGGAGGCGAAAGCGGGAGGCGAAATCGGGAGTCGGGAGGCGAAAGCGGGAGGCGGAAGCGGGATGCGAAAGTGTGAGGAGACGAAAGTGGGAGGTGACGTCGCGAAATCAGCGCACCCATGAGGAGGAGGAGGAGGAGGAGGAGGAGGAGGAGGAGGAGGAGGAAGAGAGGCCGGGGGATTGTGGAATCGCACGTCGTTTTGATATGGTTTTCATCAAATGGAACGCCCCTTCATCTGTAAACTTTGATGTTGTTTTGCCATTTTTCTTTTCGCCGTGCCCCCCTCATACTATGCTTCTCTCGTTCTATCGCTATCTCGTGTTCTCCCTCTCTATCTCTTTGTCTCTCTCTCTGTCTATCTCCTGCACCAGGCCAATGCATGTCGATGCGATACCAATCGCTTTGCCAACCAATGCCAATGCCACTGCAATGTGAATGGGGGAATCCTATCGCTCGGTGGATTTCAATCAGAATCCTTTGTGGGAGGTGTCATTGCGAATCTTTCTTCGGAGGCTTTCAATAGGAATGCCTCTGTGGAGGGTTTCGATCCGGATCCTCCTGTGGAGGGTTTCACTAGGACTATTCTTGTGGGGGTTCGGTAGGAGTCCTTCTGCGCAATGCCAACGCAATGCCGAAGCAGTGCCATCGCAATGCCAAACCAGTGCCAAGGCGATCCCAACCAAATGCAAATGCAATGCCAATGGGGGGGAACCTTTGTGGTAGATGAGCAAGCGTCCCTATTCCTGGAGGGTTCCAATAGAAATCGTTGTGCGAAGGCAGGCACAAGGACTCGCTAGCGCAATGCCAGCGCAATGCCACAGCAGTGCCCAATCCAATGCCCATGGGGGAATCCTTTCGATCGGTGGATTTCAATCAGAATCCTTGGTGGACGGTGTCATTACGAATCCTTCTTCGGAGGCTTTCAATAGGAATGGCTCTGTGGAGGGTTTCGATCGGGATCCTCCTGTGGAGGGTTTCACTAGGACTATTCTTGTGGGGGTTCGGTAGGGGTCCGCCTGCGGAGGGAGCCAGTAGGACTCGCCGGCGCAATGCCAACGCAATGCCGAAGCAGTGCCATCGCAATGCCAAAGCAGTGCCAAGGCGATCCCAACCAGATGCAAATGCAATGCCAATGGGGAGGAGCTTTTGTGGTAGATGTTTAAAAAGCATCCCTATTCCTGGAGAGTTTCAATAGGAACCGTTGTGCGAAGGCAGGCACAAGGACTCGCTAGCGCATTGCCAGCGCAATGCCACAGCAGTGCCCAATCCAATGCCCATGGGGAAATCCTTTCGATCGGTGGATTTCAATCAGAATCCCCAATGGACGGTGTCATTACGAAATCTTTCTTCGGAGGCTTTCAATAGGAATGCCTTTGTGGAGGGTTTCGATCGGGATCCTCCTGTTGAGGGTTTCATTAGGACTATTCTTGTGGGGGTTCAGTAGGAGTCCTTCTGCGGATGGAGCCAGTAGGACTCGCCAGCGCAATGCCAACGCAATGCCGAAGCAGTGCCATCGCAATGCCAAACCAGTGCCAAGGCGATCCTAATCCAATGCCGATGTAATGCCAATGTTGGAAATCCTTTGTTATATATTCCACAAGGGATCTTGCTTTGGGAGGGTTTCAATCGGAATCGTTGTGCGACGGGAGGCATTATGACTCGCCAGCGCAATGCCAAAGCAGTGCCAACCCCATGCCAAACCAACGCCAAGGCGATCCAAACTTAATGCCAATGCAGCGTCAATGGTGTGGATTGCTTGTTGTAGCGCCCAATCGCAATCCTTTTTAGAACCCTTCGGCAGATGATGCCATCCACAAAGGAATCCTTTTTAAGGACCCTTCTTCGGAGGATTTCACGAGGAATTTTTCAGTGGAGGGATTCGCATGGAACCCTTCCTGTGGAGGATTGCAATGCGAATCCTTCTTGTGGGGGGGTCCGTAGGCATCATTCTTGTGTGCGTATTCAATCGGAATTATGTGGAGAGTTTGTTTGGGACTCGTCATCGCAATGCAAACGCGCTGCTAACGCACTGCCGTCGCAATGCCACCGCAATGCCACTGCGATTCCAAACCGATACCAAACCAATGCCAATGCAATGCCGATGGCATGGTGGCAGGTGTTCGACATATTCCAACAGAAATCCTTATGTGGATGATTTGGTTACGGATCCGTCTCCAGAAGTAATCGACATGAATCTTCTTGTGGGGGGTTTCGGCAGGAGTCCTTCTGTGGAGGGTTTCACCATGAACCCTCCATGTGGGGGGCCCTCCGTTTGGAAGGTTTCAATCGGAATCCTTCCGTGGTGGGAGGCATCCGAAGTCGCCAGCGCAATGCCAAAGCAGTGCCACCGCAACGCCAAACCAATGCCATGACAATCCCAATACAATGCCAATGCAGTGCTTGGGGGAAGTCGCTTGTGGTCGGTTTCAATCGGATTCCTTCGATGCAGGATTTCGAATGGAATCCTGTTTTGAAAAGGGGTTCAATACGAACCCTTCTTGGGGAATGTTTCAATCGGAATCCTTATTGTGTGGGGTTCAATCGGGATCATCATGCGAAGGGCGGCGTTGGAACTCGCCAGCACAATGCCAGCGCAATGCCAACGCAGTGCCAACGCACCGCCAAACTAATGCGAAGGCGATCCCAACCCAACGTCAATGCAATGTCAATGGGAAAAACATGTGTGTTGTGGATGGCTTTGCATGGAATCCTTCCGTGTAGAGTTTCAGTGTGAACCCTTTTTTTGTGGAGGGTTTTAATAGAAGTCCTTCTTGTAGAGGGTTTCAATCTGAGTCCTTTTGTGGAGGGTTCCATTCGGACCCGCCATCGCAATGCTTGCGACATGTAACCGCGCTGCCAACGCACTGCCAAGCGCCATGCCAACGCAATGCCAGCGCAATGCCAATGCCAACGCACCTGTCAAGCGCTATGCCAACGCTATGCCAATGCAATGCCAACGCACGGCCAAACCAATGCCACTGCAATGCCAACTGCTGTATTTCGTTCTTTCGAAGCATCTCAGCAGCAAATAACTTGATTCGGAAGGAAGGATGAGGAGGAGGAGGAGGAGGAGGAGGAGGGGGAGAGCGGGGGAGAGAGTACGGAAGGAACGGAACAGCGCGGGGAGGAACATGAGCCCCCCCACCAAAAATAACAACCAACACAAAATAACATCTATATATACTTTATATTCATACCCACACACATATATATATATATATATGGGGGAGCAAAACACTAGGAGGAGAAGGAGGACGAGGGAGCGGAGCAGCACGGAGGAGGGGGAGGAGGAGGAGGAGGACGAGGAGGAAGAGGAGGAGGAGGAGGAATAATAATAATACTACTACTAATAATAAGACTAATACGAATAAGGCTAATACTAATAATAAGACTAATAATAATTAGACCAATAATAACAATAAGACTAATACCACTAACGATACTAAGACGAATAATAATATTATGAAGACTAAGAAGAGGAGGAGGAGGAGGAGGAGGAGGAGGAGGAGGAGGAGGAGGAGGAGGAGGAGGAGGAGGAGGAGGAGGACCCCCCCCACCCCAACACCAAAACAAAACACAGAGCAACACACGGGAGGCCGCGCCGCGTTTTTTTTTGGGGGGGGGGGGGGGTCGGGGTGGGGGTGGGGGCAGGAGAAGCAACGAACTAGATTCTGGGGGAAAGGAGGGGTAGGAGGAGGAGGAGGAGGAGGAGGAGGAGGAGGAAAAGCAGAGAAAAGGAGGAAGAGGATGAATAGGAAAAGGGGAGGGCAGAGGAAGAGGATAAGGAAAAGGAGGCGAAGGAATATGACGAATCTTCACGAACAACTGTACGACAACAGCCTCCGAAAGGCGTGCGAGTCCACAACCCCCTGTTTTCGAGGAAGAGGAGGAGGAGGAGGAAGAGCAGCAGGCGGAGGAGGAGGAGGAGGAGGAGGAGGAGGAGGAGGAGGGGAGGAGGAGCAGGAGGAGGAGACGGAGGAGGCGGCGCGGTTTCGACGACGGCGCCCACGTCGACTGGACGACGATTACGGCGAAGACGGTGACGACGACGACGACTTCGATGGCCGCGGCGACGACGTCGACGCGGACGACGGTGACGACGACGGCGTGGACGACGACTTCGTTGGTGACGACGACGGCGCCGACGTCGACGACGACACTGACGACGAGGGCGGTGGTGGAGCTGACAACGAGGGCGCTTGCGACGCTGAGGCCGAGGACGGCGGCGGCGGCGACGAAGACGTGGCGGCGCTCGCCCTTGCGCGCGCGCGGCGTGGACGTGCTGGCCCGGCGGCCCCCGCAGGTCCGGGTCCTTCGGCATTTCTCGCGCGGTGCCGTGCGACGTGTCACAAGGTTTCGCGCGCGCTCGGCCACCACCTCCGCTGTCCTTCGTCGTCGTCGTCGCCGCCGCCGCTGCCGCCGCAGCCGCCGCCGAGGGGGATCGAGGTCCGGGTTCGAGGCTGCTCGAGGGTCGATGCTGCTGGAAGCTTTTGGCGCCCTCGTGTCCACGGCTGGATGCGCATCACACTGTTTGTTCCGAACGCACCCCAGCACGGGTCGGGTGCCGGCCGTCTGTCTTCGACCCTCGCGAGTCGGCGTCGGGCGTTGGCGTCAGCGTTGTTACCGGCGTCGTTTTCATTCTCGGCGTCGGCGCCTGTCTCGCTGTTGAATTCGCGGGAGGAGTCGGATGAGGATAGTGCGGAGGGGGAGGAGGCAGAGCGGGAGGACGAGGATGAGGAGGAAGCGGAAGAGGAGGAGAAGGAGGAGGAGGAGGAAAGGCAGTAGGAGGGGAGGAGGAGTAGAAGGAGGAGGAGGAGAAGGAGGAGAAGGAAGAGGAGGAAAAGCAAAGCAACGATGCTGCAGCACACCGTCCTTCCCCATGTCCTCTCCTCACGCGCCCCTGCAAATCCTCGTTTCCCTTTAATAGCCCCCCTTGAAATGCCAGCACAGTTGTGCCTGCCATTTTGGGGAAGGCCCCGCTTTGAAAAAGAATTTCAACTGAGAAAGCCCCAATCAGTGGATGATTTGAAAATTGATACTATGGATCTTGAGATCGATTGTGAGATCGATAATGAGATCGATAGCGGAATCGACAGTGTGACATCGATTCAACGAGATCGATAGTGAGATCCATCGCGAGATCGCTCATGCGATCTCTAGTGAGATCGCTTGTGAGATCGATAGTGAGGTCGATTGTGAGATCGATGGTGAGATCGATCGAGAAGTCGGTAGTGAGATCGATGGTGAGACCGATGGATCAGACGATCGACCAGGAGCCCGTGAACCCGGGAACCTCGCCGCCCTCCGAGATCGGCCCCGAACCTGGAACCTGGAACCCGAGAGCCCGGAACCGGGAACCCAGGAACCTGTCTGGAGCCTCGAGACGGGGGTCAACGCAAACGGGGGTCAGCCAGGGCGCCAGATCCTGCAGGATCCTGCAAAGGCCCCCTCTGGCTGACCCGGGTCAGGGAACCGCTCGTGGCCGCGAGGCGGCCGCGCGTATTGGCTGACCCGGGTTTGCGAGGACCTGCGTTGCAGTTTTTTTTTTTCCTGCATTGCAGTTTTTGGTTTCCTGCTGACCCGGGTCTGGATTGACCCGGGTCAGAGGATCCCCGAACCTGGGAACCCAGCCTGCCACCAAAGTCTCTGCACGCACGAAATGGGTACTGAAAGAATGGGTCCAATGCCCAACAGCGGATCTTGTTCATCTTGAACAGGGCTCGCTGTCCACGCCGCCGCGGCCTGTGTCCATTCGAGACAGGAGGCCGCCTGCCCAACAGCGGCCGCTGTTGGTTTGGGACAGCATTTGCTGTTGGGCATTGTACCCATTTTTTCGGTACCCATTTCGGGCGTCCAAAAAGTCGGCGTGGAATTTTCGCCAAATCCTTCAACATCCGCTAGGGCCCCTTCAGTGCAAGCACTGATTGGTGAACTGCCTCACATTGTTCTGACGCGTGGCCAAGAACGCGAACACACACACAATGATCATACGGTTCAACGGGGTGTCTCATCCCCTTGTCGAAGAAGGACCACCCCCACATCCGTGTAGCTGCTGCACACATTTACATACAATTCGAGGAGGTTCCAAAGGGCAGCTCAATTTTGAAAGAGGGCCGCTGTAGATCCACGCAGCGCTAAGCGCGTTGAAGTTTCGGGTCCTTCAGTTTACGCAGTCTCATGCATTTGGACATGAACAGTCCTCCATCCTTCTGAAAGTTGCATGACGAAAACGAATGCTCGCTGCCATGCGGCGAGAGCATGTACAAAAAGCCCTCCATCTGTAAAGCTAGTGCAACCCCCTAAGACGATGCGTGGGGCTTTAAGGCGAGGCATGAGCTTGTTTCGCCAGAGCTGGTTTCGCTCGCTGGTTTCGCCGACGGCTGGTTTCGCTGGCGCTGGTTTCGCCCCGCTGGTTCCCTCCCGCTGATTTCGCCCGCGGCTGGTTTCGCCAGCGCTGGTTTCGCCGGCGCTGGTTTCGCCGACGCGAGCCCCAACAGGTGGGTCGGGTCGGGCGGGCGGGACTTGGCGGGCGGGTCGTGTCGGGCGGGCTGGACGTTCCAGTGTGGGGCGCGCTCGACCGAGCGGGCGGGTCGGGTCGGGCGGGCGGACCCTGGCGGGCGGGTCGGGTCGGGCGGGCGGGACATTCGAGTGTGGGGCGCGCTCGGCCGAGCACGCGCGAAGCCTAACTGGCGGGTCGGGTCGGGTCGGGCGGGCCCTAGTGGGCGGGCCAGGGTTGGCAGTTTCGCCGACGGCGGCTGGCTTCGTCGACGGCGGCTGGCTTCGCCGACGGAGCTGGTTTCGCCGAGCGGCGAAACCAGCCGGGCGAAACCAGCCGGGCGAAGCCAGCCGTCGGCGAAACCAGCGGTCGCCCCAGACGAGAGCACCATTCTGAATACCACCCCCTTCCATCTGTGAACATTTTGAGGTGCAGGACGATTGCGCGTGACGCTAAGGCGAGAGCTGAATTGTCTCTGACTCGTTTTCCTAAGTGCGAGTGGCCTCGGGAGTTTCTGAGCAGTGGAGCCGCGTCCGTCTCGTTCGCTGCTCCTGCTGCTGCTCTCTCCCTCTGCTCCGAAACCGCTCCTGCTCAAGCTCTATCAATCGAGGGGCCCCCGGCAGTGCATGGGCGTGCCGTGGGCCGCAGCCGGCCCGTGGGCGGCCTCCATCGCGACTGCGTGGCTCTCGCGCTGCCCCGCCTGCCCAGAGGCCCGCGTGACGTGCGGGGCCTGCCCCGCGTGCCCTGCGGCGGCGGCCGCCGCCCCCTGCCCGGGCTGCCCGAGCTGCCCGGACTGCAGTCTGACCTGCGGGTCCGGGCCAGGCTGGTGGGCGGTCCTGGCCGCCTTGGTCGCCGGGCTCGCGGCTGGTGGCGGCCTCCGCGTGACGCTGGGCTGGGCTGCCCGAGTCGCCTCGCTCTTCGTCGGCGGGACCGACCCGCCGCCTGTGACCCTGCTCGTCGAGGACGACGGAGCTGGCCAAGACGGCGGTGCGCATCGCCGCTTTCGGGCGGTGCGGGCATAGCCTGATCGTCCGCTGTTGGCCAGATGGCGGCGATGCGGACGCTCGACGTGCCCGAGGCGCAGGTGTGCGTGAACTACGACGACGACGACAACTTTCGGTGGCACCACAGGGTGCTCCTCGAGCAGCTCAGCCCTGGCGTCTGGGTGGCGGCGACGCCCGACGGCGAGGTGCTGACGCTGGACCTCAGCAAGCACCTGGTCGTCCCGTTGCGTCGGGGGTCCGCGTTCCCGGTGCGGGTTCGTGGGCAGGTCTATGCGTTCGGCGACCAGTCGGACGAGGACATCGAGGCGCTGCGGGTGGAGGCGCGAGGCCTCGCCCTGGTCATGGGCGTCTCGGCCCCAGCTGGGATTGCTGGGGGCATCGTGCCGCGCTGGATCGTCTCGGACCCAGGCTCTCCCGAGTTTGGGCGCGAGCTGGACCTCCAGCTCATCGGCAACCCGGAGCGGCTGATCAGCCGCGACGCGGTGGGCATCGCGATGCTCAGCGAGGAGGAGGGCTGGGTCTCGGTCGAGAACGTGCAGCAGGCCGACGAGGAGGACTGGCGCGCCGAGAAGCGCCGAGGCCCAGGACGCGACCCGCGGATCCTTCCGCTGGCGCGCCGGGGTCGGGGGGTCCAGGTGACGCTCGGGGAGGCGCTCGCGAAGATGAGCGCGGTCGACTTCGACGACTGGCCCTTTCGGGGGCCGAGGGCCCTGCCCGAGCTGCTGGCCGCCATCCTGGCCACCGGGCTGACCCTCACGTCCTACTGGGGGTACTGGGTCTCGGAGTCGGGGGTGTCCCGGAACGCCGCGGTGGCCCAGGAGGTGCGGCGCGCGTTGAATCAGCTGCACCACGCCGTGACGTACGACCTCGTGGACCCGTCGAACTTGGCGTCTCTGGAGCTCCTGGGGCGCCGAGTGCTGCAGATCCAGCGTGCTGTGAAGAGGTGCCCGCGCCACCCGAGTTTCGAGGGCCTCGGCCTGATGTTGAGCAGCTCTCTGGACGAGAGCGGAGGCGTCGTGACGTCGCGGTTCGACGCGTTCGTGGCCGAGGAGCAGAAGTCGCAGGGCATCATTCTGAAGCAGGAGCGGATGTACCGGGAGGAGCAGGAGTCGGAGGCGAAGAAGTACGAGAGGCAGGGCGACGACAGGGAGAGGGGCTCCAGGGCGGATCCGAAGGGCAAGGCGAAGCCGAAGCCCAAGGCCGCCGCGAAGGATCAGGGCTGACGGCGCCATGTCGGCGCCATCATGGCTGGGCCCTCCGCCCGGCCTCACTTGGCCTGGCCCTGACTCCGCAGCCGCGGATGCGAGTCGGGCCGGGTTGCTCTCCGAGGGGGTCTCCTCCGAGGGTCGGACTTCGTCCACAGTTTTGTTTCCTCTGCCGCAGGGTGACGAGTTCTTTCGGCACCCTCATCGCGGAGAACGTGCCGCTCTGCCTCGGTATCTGGCCCAGCGTGCTGCTCGTGCTGACGACCGTGATCGCAGGTCTCTCGAGACTCTGGGCGCGCTCAACGCGCTGGCAGGCGCACGGGCTGGGGGGCGTCTCGAGCCTCGAGCGCCCGGCAAGCATCGGCCGACTACCGCCCAGGAGTCGGTCATCAAGCGAGTCCGACGTCGTATCCGCGGGTTCGGCGACCGGCCGAAGGACATGGACTGTGCTGGAGCCCTTCAGGAGCTCCTCAAGTGCAAGGATCTTTACTCGAACATGGGCGAGGCTTCTACTCGCCGCGACTATGATGCTGACAAGCTCAACGTGTTACGACGTGCGCCACAGGACCGGCCTCGTCAGCTTCGAGACGTTGCCCCTCGGCACGTCACCGAAGCGCTGGACCACTTCGACTCGGACGTCGTTCGCCC